GTACTCCTCCTCCTCGTCATCATCGTACTCCTCCTCCTCGTCATCATCGTACTCCTCCTCCTCGTCATCATCGTACTCCTCCTCCTCGTCATCATTGTACTCGTCATCTTCATCGCTATGGTCATCATCTTCCTTCTCCTCATCTGCTTCCACTTCTTCCCCGTCGTCATCATCGTACTCCTCATCTTCATCGCTATCGTCATCATCTTCCTTCTCCTCATTTGCTTCCACTTCTTGCCCGTCGTCATCCATTTCATAATTTCTCATCCCTGTCGACATATCAGCAAAGGACGCAGTATCTGCGAAAACTTTTTGTCTTTCTTGCCAGTTAGAAGTGGCCTCCTTAGGGTTGTCCCTTTCGCTAGCTGTCACACCCAAGTGACTGCCATCGCCCATGAACGCATTGCGCAATTTCGTAGAGTAATATTCTAGTATCGGCATGCGTGAAGAGGCATTCAAAAAGGAATCTGCATATGTTGCGTCTTCCCCCCCTGAAATCGTCGCTCTCGCATCGCTCAACCCGTCACTTCTCACCCCATCGTCGAGCATCTGAAAATGTCCCCTTCTCACACTTCTCCAAAGCGCCGAATTACCTGCAAATACTTTACCTTGCAAAATTGCTTTAAAAAAGACCTCACATTTGTCCTTATCATCACCACTAGACAAAGAGTTTTCCTCTGAGATTTCCCCTGGGGCATATGTAAACTGGTGATTCTTAATATCCACCTCTTTCGTGTTGGGTGATTCTTCCACTAGGGTTTTCCCCTCCTCCTCGCTCGCCAATATTGAATCTAACCGCTCACTCCCTTTCAGCACGTCATAGCAATCAAATGTCCGCTCAACTGAGTCTATGAAAATTTTGTCCAGGTCTTTTTCTGCAACCCTATCCGTGGTAGCATCCTTCGCATTAGTGCTTCCATTACGTAGTAAATTTATTACCTTCTTTTTCATCATAAAAGAGTCTTTTAAATTTTCCAATATTTCGTAAAGCGCAGATTTCTCATCATTGTCGTCAGGCGCATTCGCGTCAGGAGCATTACCAGTCGAACGCGCATCGCCTGCTTCCACTTCATGGCACCGTTTTAGAAGATCCCTTTCGCTCAATAATTTTTTTTTGATTGACGAGGGGATGGCTAACCTACTACTCGCACTCTCCAAGTAGCTAACAATATCATCGATCGCTTCGGCATACTTCGAATTAGGGCATGAATTAAGATTAGCATTCCTCAGTTCCACACTTGATAGGATGGAGTCATTTGACCCGGTCGATTTGTCCATCTGCTTGTACTCATGATCTAGAATCTCTTCGGTATCACTAATTTGATCCTCTTTCGGAAAAAAGGACATATAGTCTAGCGATTTATCCAATCCTTTGAATAACTCGCTCTTGTTATTTTCGCTTAATTTATCCAAATTTAAATTAAATGTGTACCTGATGTAGCAGTAGGTAGTGGATTCTTCATCCGAGTTTTTCTGATAGACCTTGCGCAGCATATGGACATCATTTTCGGTAGATTCCTCGGTTGAAATAACTTTCATGTCGCTTGCATCGTGTACAGGGTATTCCTCCTCACTCCGAGCTTGTTCTACCGCTCCCGAAGCGGCATCATTGCCATTATCATCATCGTCCTTATCATTAGCACTGTCATCACCATTATCATCGGCAGTGTCAGCCCCATCGTCGGCCGCACCACCACTCAAATTTTGCAAACTTGCGGCGCTGGCCTCCTTCGACGCATTCCCGCCTTTAATTTTGTCCACTTCTTGCACTACTAAGGCCCGCTCGAGGACATTTTCCTTTATTTTTTCGAAAATTTTAATTTTAATTTTTTTCCCATTCTGAACAATGTTCTTCTCTTTCTTCAAGTGATCATGCGATAGCAGCGAATCTGTGTCGACCAACTCTATCTTCAAATTGATCTTCTTATCGTGTGACATCCCATAGTAGAGAGCCGGGAGGCAAAAAAGCACAAAGCAAAAAATAGCGGCTAATGTGTTAAACTTCCCCATATCTACTTATCCTATATAATAACCAATGCGACAGTGTATGATTTGAAAAAAAAAAAAAACAAAATTGCCTGTTGATATGTAGAACAAACTGCAATCGTTAAAGACGAGACACAACTTTTGATTAATCAAACTCGTAAAACCGCGTCTTACTCAAACTTGTTGGTATAGACAACGTTCAATCAAATAATGCATTTTTCTAATCTGTCAAATAAAATGGAGCTCATTGTTTTTGTTCATTTTTATTTTTAAAACGAATATATTTGAATGTATCATTATGTCATTTTTAAATTGACATTTAAAAAAAAATGTATTGAGGAAAAAAAGGAAAATTCGAAAAAGGAAAAACCTATACAACGTTGTTTTTTTTTTTTTTTTTCTTAAATAGCTACAAAAAGTAAAACCAGTGTGCAAATGAAGCCAAAATGTGAAAAAAGAATGTAGCTATTTCACTTTCTTACATGACCCGTTCATAAGAAATTGTCTTTATTATCTCCTTTTCTAAGACACTTTTTGAAATCCAGCTGGCCATTTTGCAATATTCTGGGCTAACGAGAAAAAAAAACCCTCAATGGTACATAATAAAATATTTGCATAAGCCATTTTGGCTGTTTTTTTTTTCTTCTTTTTAGCTTGCGAGAAATACCCCATTTTGTGTGTATCTTAAATAGCGCTACATTAGGTAATTTTTCCCTATTTGAAGTTCAAAGCGAAAGCGTAAGTCAAGAAGACTGGAACGTTTTGTATGGCTTGCCTTTTTGCATCTCTATGAAGGGGCTACCCATTTTGTTGCAAAAAAATTGGCGCAAAAGTTACCGTTGTTGTAATTTCAAACAAAGAGTGGCAAATTTCAATGAGAATTAACAAAGACAAAAATAAACCGCGACCTTTCCCACATCCTGTTCGCCTAACCAGCGAAAATGCAAATCGATTGACCACTTAGCCTTTACACCCTTGCTAGGACGCAATAGATGATAATGAAGAGAACTTTAATTTTGCACCACTCCTATGAGTAGACCAAGTAGAAAGACGCATACGGAGAGTGCAAAATGAACCATGTAGCTGGGCACCTCTCGGAGAAATTCCCTTCTCAATGGACAAGCGAAAGCGCCATTAGCATCGACCGGTCACTAGCATAAAAAACGACAAGGCAGGATTTTCTCCCATTAGATCCTCTTGAACGCACAATGTTGTTGTTGCCTTGGAGAAAATGGTTAATAACGCGCACCAGGGGAGGCCTCCTCAATAGAGGAGATAAATGCCAACGCGCTCGGGTCAACCATACGGAAGGGTAGGAATTCATTCATCATAACATATCCAACCTTGGCCAGCGCACCCCTTTTTTAAAACTTTCCAAACAGTTGCATAATATTGGTTCACTTTTAAACACTGACGTGTTATTATTAACCGCTAATCGTTGGGGCAGAAAAGAAAATAACAAACCGATGCAGAGCGGGATTAGAATGTGCGCTGTATTAGGTACCCCTATTTGGTTTATTCCCATTTGGGAGGATGGGAAAAAAAACAGAAAATGACGCGATGGTGCATGAATACACGCGCCGATTAGGAGAATACCCCATGGAAAAGGTCCCCCCTTCGGTAGACATATCACCAAAAGGGGGAAGCCCTGCCAAATCGCACAAAAAAAAGAAGCCGTACGTTCATCCTAGTCTGACAACGACACCGCGTATCCCTAGTGGTACTTCTTAACCGCCTCCTGTGCCAGCTGCTTTATGATGACTCCCTTCCCCTTTGCTGCCGACCCGAAAGCCTTGTTTTTACCTCCGCCAGAATGGCCCTCCACTGACTGCATTATCTCCTTCATGAAAGCATCTGCCTGTATAGTGGTCCCCTTCAAAGAATCCTTCATTTCGAAAACGCAGTAGGTGTTCTTCTCATCACCAATGATGAAGAAATAGCTGCACAATTTGTTATGCTTACAATACGACTGGGCGATTTTTTCTAACATCTTTTGGTTTCCAGAGAGAGCATCAAAAAGCTTGACATCTAGAAGGACACCACTTTTGTCTTCCAAAGCGTAATCCTTTCCAATAGTGGTAGCTTTCTTGAATAACTCCTTCTCCATGTTCTTCGTCTTCTCGATGATATTTTTTTCAATTTTTTCCAATTTATGCAATATTTCCTTTTTCCTAATATATGGCAGAAACTTATCTTCCTTTAGAACCCGTTTGTACGTCTGTACGTCGGCTAGTTTGCCTTCATTGGGATCTTCAAAGATGTGTTTGTACTTGGCAAGCAGATGATCAAATTTGGCTTCTACCTCTTCCGCCTTCTTATTCGTGACAGCATTGATTCGGTAAATTCCCTTCCCGATGCTTTCCTCCGACGTGATGATAAATTTCTTTATAAATTTCGTGTTGGCGATATGGGTGCCTCCACACAATTCGATGGAGCACAAATAGGAGTAGTTCACCTCGAGATGGTTTAGAATCTTGTCCACGTCGTTGTCTATGAAGACTACATTGACAACGTCTGCATAATCTTCCTCAAAGATGGCTCTGATTCCTTTAATCTTTTTGCTCTCCTTAAGATCCAGGGTTCGAACGGAGACGGCTAATTCTTGCCTGATCAAATCGTTGACTTGGCTTTCGATTTTGCTAACCAATTCGTCACTTACATTTTGGAAGAAGGAGAAATCGAATCGCAATTTCTCATCATCTACTAGGGATCCCTTCTGATCACAATTAAAAATGGAGTTCACTCCAGCTTGTTCCTTCTGATTTGTTGTGTGGACCGAATGACCATTCTTCGTGTCCCCCTTCGCATCTACGACATGCTCCGTTAAAACTTTCTTTATGACAAAATTGAGTAAATGCGTTGCGGTGTGGTTGCATGCAACTAGTTTTCTTCTTTCAAAATTTACCAGCGTGTGAACGGAGTCATTCTTTTCTATTTTCCCCTCTTGGAGCATACCAATGTGAAGAACATATTCGCTCATTTTTTGCACATTAAGTACTTTGAATTTCATCTTCTCATTTTGAATCACCCCCGTATCGTATATCTGCCCTCCATTTTCGTAGTAAAAATTGGTTTCCCTCAAAATGAGGGCATACTTCTTCTCTTCACTCGGTTTTTCAATCCTGTCTATGAAATTCTCCCCATCGTAGATGACCACTACGTTGGTCTCCACTTTCACCGTGTCATTCTTCCTATCATCGTTATTCCATTCGTACTTCAGATGATCCTCCGTTGCTCCCACACCATGCTTCTGCTTCAACTCATGGGCCTTCTCCACTGGCAGGTCAAAAAATTTATTCATTTTAAAATTGTTCGTATCGGACACTAGTTGGTGTTTCCTAAACAGATCATTAAATTCGCCCATATTTAATTTGAAGCCTTTCTCTTCGCACATGATTTGTACCAGATCGATAGGGAATCCATACGAAGTGTACAAATCGAAAGCATCTTTCCCACTGAAGAGTTTATCCCCCCCTGTATTGTTCCCCCTTTTGATAATTTTATTAAACTGATCCACTCCTTTTTCTAACGTCCTGTTGAAAACGAGCTCCTCCTGTTTGATGATATTCTTAATATAGTTCACTCGATCTTCATCTTTCAAATCGGTAAAGCAGTTCTTCAAAATTTGGCACACAGAATCCACCAATTTGTAGAACCACATGACGTTAGTGCCTACTTGGAATATCTGCTTACCTACTCGGATGGCCCTTCTGATAATCCTCCTTATGACATAATTTCGTCCTTCATTTCCAGGAAGGCAACCATCACTAATGGCAATTGTTACACATCGGATGTGGTCACTAACAACTCGGTACGCATAATCAATTTTGTCAACATCTTCTTCATTAACCTTACCTCCATAATCAGGCAGATGATTAAAAATCTCCTTTATCTGCTTAAAAATCGGGAGGAACAAATCCGTGTCGTAATTACTCTCAACGTTTTGCAAAATGGAGGTTATTCTTTCTAACCCCATTCCTGTATCGATACATGGGAAGGGCAATTTGTTCATATTTTTCTTCTCATCCTTATTATACTGCATGAAGACGATGTTCCATATTTCCAAGACACTTGGGTCGTCCTTATTCACCAAACTGCTAGCATCTCTGTTTCCAATCCGATCATAATGAATTTCTGAGCAAGGACCACATGGACCTGTTTCTGCCATTTCCCAGAAATTCTCCTTCATACCAAATGGTAAGATACGACTTTCGTCAAGATACTTTAACCATATCTTTTTCGTCTCCATATCTTCAGGACAGCTAGCCAATTTCTCATCGCCCCCAAAATAGGTCACATATAATCGGTTAGGGTCTATTTTATACACATTTGTTAGGAGATCCCATGCATAATCGATACTCTCCTCCTTAAAATAATCTCCAAAACTCCAATTTCCTAACATTTCGAAGAACGTGTGATGGTAGACATCCTTCCCTACGTCATCCAAATCGTTGTGTTTCCCTCCTGCTCTTATGCATTTCTGCGTATCCACTGCTCTTTTCAACTTTCCCAAATCGCTACTCTTATCCACCTGTCCTAGAAATATTTTCTTAAACTGATTCATCCCTGCGTTCGTAAATAGCAATGTGTTGTCGTTGTACGGAATGACTGATGAGCTTTCCACGACCGTGTGGTTTTTCTCCTTAAAGTAGTTGATGAACCCGCTTCGAACCTCCTCTGCGGAGAGAGGTGGACGCAAGGACAATGCGGGGGACGCCTTCCCCGCGCTGACAAACCCATCATGCCCCCCCATCACTCCGTTCATCCCGGCCTCCTCCTCGTACCGTTTCTCCACCTGGTCCCCACTCCATGCACTCATCTTTACTCTTCTTCCTAATGTGTCTCTTCCCTCTTTCGCTGCCCCGTTCGGAACTTCCAGGCGATACTTGCCACTTAGACGCACAGGAGCAATATACGTCAAGCTGCTACTGAAGAGGCTGCCTCCTCTTATTCCTTTGGAGAATCTCGAGATGTCCCTTTTGCTAAATGCTCTGCTTAAACACATGCACGGATTGCTTCTCTCCTCTTTGCTCCCAAACAGGAATGACGCCCCTCGGGGGGTCCTTTCCAATGGTGTCAATATGATCGAGGAGGCCCCACCCACGTGGCTCCTTGTCGTGGTACGAAAACTTGGCGAGTCGCTTTTCCCCCTCGATGGAACAAGCACCTCTAATGACCCCCTACGAATGCTGTTGTGTCCCCTAGGCTTGATGCTCAAAAGGACGAATAGAAGCCTCACGGGCAAGAGCGCTTGTCTCATATATATAACCGGGAGATTCGCCGCTATCCCCTGTGGTGCCTCGAATGAAGGCAAATCCCATCCGCATGCCCTTACAAATATGATTCCCCTTCCACCTGCTCATGCACATGTGGGTTTATGAAACTGACGCGGGCGACGCCTACGCTCACGCGGTGTGGCAGAAATGTATGTAAAAGAAAGAAAAAAAAAGGCATCTTCCGGATGGGCTACCTCTTCCTCTGTGTCGTACAATTTCACATGGTCATGCAATCTATTTAATGGAAACTTGGAAGGAAATATCAAAGGGGGGGGGAAGGCAAACGACGAGCTGCAACTTCCGAACGGTGTAGCATAATTTGGCACACCCAGCTCTTTTCTTTTCTGAAATAACCTTCCAGCACATTGAATCCCTCAGCCGAAGATTAATCTTCTACTGCACCAATGACTGTATCATCATAAAAGGTATTTTTTTTTTTTTCCTCTTCCCTATCTCACACTTTGGAAATATTCCCACTTTCGCAAAAATCTGCCTATAGCTTCATCACGCATAAATAGAGAAAAATTTGGCATCCGTGAGGAAAAGCAAAATTGTACATCCGTACATGCACGTGTAAAGCAATTTTTTCGAGTGTGGAGAAACTGGCACCTGAGGGCGAATTCCTCCAATTTAAAGTGCTTTCAGGAAAATGCTTCAGAAGCCTCAGTTCTATAATATGCGTATGTCATTATCTAAACTCACAGCACAGTTCTTCTCATGCGAAGGGATTTTTGCATTGTTCGTAGAGGATAAGGAAACTTCGCCCAGGGTAGAAATGTTCTTCTGTTTCGCCTTGGGGAAGGGGCAAGGAAGAAAAGAGCGTGCTACGTAGCGTTTTTTTTTTTTTTTTTTTTTTGTGCTATGCTGAGGCATAAAGCGACTACATAAGGAGACAGACCTGGGTGAGGCAAGAAAACAAAAGGAGGAACCGTTTTCGCCCCCGCTGGAAAAAAAAAAATACAAAGCAACAAAGGAAACAAGAAACCAACAAACGAAGGAACGGAAGCATATATATTATATACGTGCATATATTTTTTCTTCTACTGTATATGTTACTGTCGTGGAGAAAGAAATTTCCCAACCTCAAAAGCGCGTTCCCAAATCAGCGCAGCGGAGCGGTCACCCGGAGTAGCCACAAATTAGCGACACGCAGTAATATGCTTTTATCACCACCCTGTGAACGTGTTGTAAATATTTTCCCCCAATCGACGTACCACATCCGGTCATGTCCCCCTTGACATAACAGCTGCGACTGTTCTAGCATGCCAGGGCCTGTAAAGTAAAGCGGACTTGACGAGGACTGCCGCATTCACGAAGACTTCGAAGCCACCACCCCACTACACTACCCTTCATTCTCCCTCTACCACCACCCCTCATTTGTAAACAAAAATGCCAAAGTCTAAGAGAAATATCACCATATCGTTAACCAAGGTAAAGAAAAAGATGAACAAGAAGGAGCAGAAAGACCAGAAACTCTCCGATCTGAAAAAAATTATCCAAGTCCCCAATATTTATATTTACATTCTGGATGTTAGAACTTACTCGAATAGTAACTTGAAGCAGGCCATCGAGTACTTCAAGCCAAACGGGAGGTAATCGATCTCGTGCAGGGGTCCCAGCTATTTAGTTATGCCGCTACCACTTGAAGAAGGACAAACGAGGCGGCGAGTGGGGGAACTTTTCTTCGCCTTAAAAGGATATACGTACAATATGATAACCCGGCGTGACCCCAACATGCTTCTTATCTGACCCCCCTCCACGCAGGTTCTTCATTGGGAAGAATAAAGTCATGAAATTGGCCTTAGGGACAAGCGAAAAGAGCGAAGCCAAGCCGAACGTCTGCAAGGTAGCGGAGGTAAAAACTATCGATTGGGCGTCACTTGTAACCGTCCTCTATCAGTGAATACATGTACATAGTGCATCTCTCCCGTATGGTTGATGCCCAACGGGGTTACAACTTTGTGTGCCATTCGGGGCCGATACAACCCATAGAAGGGATAGGCAGACATTTCAACCCATTTTCCTCTTCCAACCACTGCAGCTCCTTGTGGGGAACAGAATCCTCCTAATAACGAAAGACTCCCCCCTGAAGGTAATAAAATTTTTTAATGACTTTCAACCTGAGGAGTATATAAAGGCGGGAAATATCTGCACACAAGATGTCACCTTAAAAATTGGAGATGTATTAAACGTCCCAGTTTCAATGCAGAAGGATTTACAAAAAAGAAAAGTAACTTTCGACATCGTCGATCAGAAGATTGTCATACGGGAAGATAAAATTTTGGCAGAAAAGGATAAACTGGTCAGCGCGGAAAATGCTAAACTGTTAAGAATGCTGAATATGAAAATTGCTAACTTTGACATAACCGTCTTGGGTTATTGGAACTTAAATAAATTCATTTCTTTGACGTAGGAATGGGGAATTATTTTTTTTTTTTTTTTTTTTTTTCTGGGGAAGTGGAAAGAAGGAGTGGTGTTCTTCTCCTCCTCCCCTCGAGCGCACATAACAAATGTGCAAGACTTTTTTTGTTTTTTTTTTTGGGGATTTAAAAAAAAAAAATACCCCATGGACTTTCTTACTTGTCTGCAACTTCTTAAATGACACGCGTGTACGTTGTTCACAAACCAAGCGCCTTTTATTTTCTCTTTCTCTTTGGAAGCTTTTAATTATATACAAATATTCTTTAAGTTGAAAAAAAAAAATAAAGTGAAAAGCAAATTGATGCATGGCGTGGAGGCGGTATATAGACATTACATATATATGTATGCACATACGAATGCGGTTTAGAAACAATTTAGAGCGGCAGCGCCCACTGGGTGTGCGATACCTCCGCTTAACACCACGAGAATAAGTATGCGTATTCACGCCTGCATCACAAATGGGTCAAGGGCACCAAACAGGTGTAGGGGCTTCTACCACCACCCCTAAACAGAACACAAGTGCCATGCGAATCGGATGGCCAACCTGTGTTAACTTCTTGCCGGGAACACTACCCCTAGAGCGTTATGACATTTTCCATTTGAATGTCCTCCTTCAGAATCTTCTTAAGGAAAGCCGTCATGGGGGGTGGGCCGCACATCAAAATGAGCGTGTCGCTTCTGACAACTTCGATGTCTAGCTTCTGATACTTGAGAATATACTTCCGCAAAAGATCCTGCGTTAGATAGCCTACATTTTCGAACGTGTCCCTTTTGGTGGAGTCTAGACACTCGTCTATGCTGTACACTGCTTTGAAGCGTGGGAAGGCCAGCTCGTACTTGTCAAAAACTGGGGAGTGGTAAAGGGGATGGAGTAGTGGTGGAGGAAAAAGGTACCATTGTGCATGGCAATATATAGTACAGGCGTATATACGTATGCACACATTTATATATCTATGTACACATTGCTGAACACACACGTGTTTTTTTTTTTTTTCTTTTTTTTTCCTGTCCTTTCCCTTCTTGACGCCCCTCGCCTTACCCTGCTTGAGTAGAATCTCCTCCTCGTTCCTGTTGGCGTATATGAGCGTCACGAAGGGCTGCTCCCCCTCCCTAACGTCAAACAGGAGCATGTGCTTTATCAGCCGAAAAAAGGGAGTCATGCCGGTTCCCCCAGCGATCATAACGATGTGCCTCTTAACCTGCACACCTTTGGACAGATAACTAAATTTGTTTCTCCCCTTATAATCTAAAACCCCAAACGGACCCGCAATATTAACCATCGCACCGTTCCGCATTTTTTCCAGATGGACACTCATTTTGCCACCATCAACAAACTGTCTATCCGGGCTGTATATTCGAATGACGAAGTGAACTTCTTTCTTCTTATTATCTACATAAATAGGAGTGTAACTTCGAAAAATCTCTTTGGCATCCTTCTCTCTGTCATCCCTATCATTCCATTTGCCTTTTATTTTCCCCTGTTGATTTGGGCCGTTAAATTTTATATGCTTACATATCCCTAACCCGAAATGGGTATACTCCCCTGGGTAGGAAAAAATGAAAATCTTCACCGTGTTGGTAAGCTTTATAATTTTACTCAGCTTCAACGTTTTGCTCTTTTCATCCAGGAAGGCTTTCTCCATGGATCCTCCATCCTGCCAATCGTCCTTCTCCCCCTTCAATTCTTCATTTTCATTCGCCTTCATATAAAGTTCAAACAGATCTTCTGCTTTCTTTTTACCATCTTTATTTTTTTTTACAAATAGGAGAACACAACTTATGGACACTAGCAAAATTACGATGTTCACGACATTCTTTGAGAGGAAGTTTATGCCTGCTCGCAACGTCTGCTTCATTTTCCCCTCTCTCAGTCAGTACCCCCTGGGGTTTACGCACATAGGTGTATGTGTAGCAGTAGGTCTGTACCTGTATACATCCTCCCCTCCGCAAGGGAAGAGGCGCACAGGGGACAGAGGGGGCGAGTGACAACAAATGTAACAACGAAAACAAGACGACCAGGGAAGGTACACAAAAAAGCTACAGGAAAGCTACAAACAGGTCACAGAAAAGCTAAAAGAAGGCTACAAAAAAGCTACAGAAAGGCTACAAAGAGGTTACAGAAAGGCTACAAAGAGGTTACAGAAAGGCTACAAAGAGGTTACAAAAAGGCTACAAAGAGGTTACAAATAGGCTACACAAAGGTTACAGAAAAATGGGCACAGAAAGTTGACACAGTTTCACGAAGTTTCACCCAATGTGGCACAAATCTAAACCCGGTTGCCAAAACGAACGCCCGCACTGACCTGCTCTGCGGATACCTGTACTTGCAAACCCCTTTTTCGCCTCGAAAAGGAATTGCCTTGTTGCTATGTCCGCCTTTTCCGACTCATGGAACCACTTCACAAAGCAGGCGATTTTTTTTTTTTTTTTTTTTTTTTTTCCTTTTTATACAAACCGCGTATAGGATAGATGCCCCCTCGGGATGGTGAAACGTTTGCCCCACAACACCACACGTGTAGGTATACTTCCTCTGAACAACTGCGCGGATGTTTTATGTAAATTTACGAGTCGCCCAGTCAACCATCAACGTAACACCGTTACATGGAGTTTATCACGTAAAAAAAACGTACTTCACACAAACGGCATAAGACATATGCCCTTTTTTGAGAAGTTAAGGGAAGCAACGCGAGCATGAGCTTTTTTACGTCGGCAAAGTGAATTGCACTCTTTGCAGCTGTCTCTACATTGAGCAAACGCACAAAAAAATAAAAATATATCTGAACACCGCAGCATGGCATAGCTCAGCAGAACAGAACACCATACAGTTGCCAACTTCGCTCCAGATCACCCCCAAACGGGCTGCGGGCGAGTGGAGTTCAACTCCTGCATGTGCAACTCCCTCCAGGGATTCCGAACATCACGCAGGGGCTTTAACGAGGAAAAAAAAAAAAAGAAGAAAGAAAAAAATTAAAACAGAAGCAAAGGGAGGGATTCCAAACGGGAAGAGGCCCAAGCGGGCGTTGCGAGCTGCCTTCCCTGTTGTGGAAGACGCATTACCTTTACCCCTGTTGAATAATCTGTCCATTCTGCGCTCTGTGACGTACATTCAAAATGGTATCCTTAAACCGAACTAATCTGTGTGCATCTCTTCCCCCGCTGCTATCGCTATGATGGGAAGGTCTTACGCTCGCACATGCATGGCACGATATGTCTCCATCCCTATTCGTTCTACTGCGCATAGCGATAGTAGGGAGCCACTCCCACTGCGCAGCGCGTACAAAAATGTGCAATATTGCCGAACGAAAGGGGGCTCTCCTTCGCAGGTGTAGACGAAACATTGTCGCATAATGGGAGGAATGTACCCCGCCACCCCCTACCACCACAAATCTACACCCACATGTGAACAACGCACGCATATGTTAGCCGCGGCTGCCATCACCATCACTACCCCTTTTAGGTGCACTTGCCCTTTTTTCCCAGCACTTGGTCTATCTTTTCCTTCTCCTTCTTCCTCTTTCGGCTCTTCTTTTTGGAATTCTTTATAAAGTCCGTTATCAAATTCATGTAGTCTTCCTCTCCGCCGGGCTTATCCGTCCTACCAGCTGCTCGTTTCGCATCAGGTTTTTTCTTTTTCTTGTGTGCTGAATCTAGGAAGTGAGTCTCATCCGAGTTGGCTACCTTGTCGTCCTCCTCGTCGGCCACTTCTATGTCTTCCTCGTCTTCCACTTGTACGTCCTCCTCGCCTTCCACTTCTACTTCTTCCTCCTCTGCCTCTTCCCCCCCTGCCGCTCTTCCCCCCTTCTCCCTCGCCGGGACCAGGATATCCTGGAACATCTCCTTCGCCTTGACGTACTTCTTACTATTCGTGTTTATCGTCTTGGTCTTCTTATATTCCCTGAGCTTCATGAAGTTCCTCATGTAGCCATTAAAGACGTTTATGTCCCCCTCCACGAGGGCGTCCAATATTTTCTTTTTCACTTCATCGGAGCCCAGCTTGAAAAACGTCACGATGGTGTGGGCTCCTACATAATGGCTAGCTATTCTCTTATACTCACTCTTAAACAACAGAATAAAGTTTCGCAGATATTTTTCGTTTAACAAGTTAAATGTGTGTGCGATTTTTTCGCACAGGACGGACAGATTTCTATCACAGGCGAAGTACAGAAGGATGTTTCCTCGTAGGTCTGCGTTTTTCCGTATAAACGGTTTGACTCTTGTATCATTTGTTTGGGGCGAGGGATTATTACCTATCCCTGTTTGTTCAGGCCCCATCTGCCTCCCTCCCCGAATAGGCCCATATCCAACATCGGCATCATCTCGCTCCTCTCGATTTTCATTACCTCCATGGCTCCCTCCGAACGTCTGTAAAAAATTTTCATACTTTTGGATATCCTCCTGGCTAGCCACATTCCCATTTACAATTTTTAAAAAATTACAAAACTGCCTGAACGAATTCGTCACCGGCGTGATGGATTCCTTCGGAAAGGACAGGATGTGCGTCAGGATGTAGTATCCGTTTGTGTCCACTTTTAGGTAATCGTAAAAATTGTAGTTGTTCAGATTGGAGCATTCCTCTTTGCAGTCCCCTTTGCCGTCCCCTTCGCATCGCCTCTTTTTGTTCTGCCCACTGAACACCTCTCGGAGGACGGGGTGCAGGTCCTGGTAGCTCCGCATGCAGAGGATGCATATCCACAGGAATTTCGCGCCGGATGTGGCGTCGACGTGGGAAGCGTCGATACCTGTGTTTGCAGCGGCGCCATTACTCTTGCAGATACTCTCCCCATTATTGCCGCGATTCCCCTTGGCAGAATCCGTGCTGACGGCACCCCCCACGCGCAACCATCGCAGCAACGCGTTCAGCAGCAACCTGCAGTTCCTCTGGTAACACTGTGACAAGTCAAAGAGGCGCCTCAACACGTTGAATTTCTTCCTCCGAATAATCAGATCGATATCGATACTCTTCATGAGTAAATCAAACATCTCTTCAGTGATGTATTCCAACGTGAGGTAGTTGTATATCACCAGGCTGGAGTATGCATTATCGCACACCAAGCTATTTATATCCTTTAAAATGTAGACATTAAAAACGTAGAAAATTGGTTCACTATTCATTCTGAGCAACTTCTCTATCATGATACTGGGCCCGTCCATCTTAATCAAAATACTGAGCACCTGCTTTAGGGGACTCTCTTCGTGGCACTTAGAATCCTCTCGTGTTTTGTTAATAAAATACTTTTTCGTCTTCTCTATTAGAAATATTTCTCTGACTAATTTGTCGCATTCCACGTTTTTCTCCTTCAGCAGTTCGAACAGCGTCCCTAGTGCTGGAACTGCATATGTGTGGTACAGGAGGGGGGGGATGAAATGCTGACTTTGGCTCTCCATAATGTACTTGGAATCTCCTAGGGGGTGCTCCGCCCCCTCCCCATGGTTAGTGCCATTAGGAAGGGGAATACTCTTCTTTCCACTAATTCCACCCCCCGCTTCCTCATAAAAGACGTACTGGTAGAGCAAATTCTTCATGGGGAGGGAAACCTTCGGGTTGGCAATTTCTTCAGTCACTTTTTGGACAATTATGTCAACGTACTGATAGAACATGTCATCTCCCCCTGCGTCTTTGGTACCCTTCCTTTGCCCTTTCTCCAGGTACTTCAATTCAGTCCTCGTGCTGGTTCCCCTAACTTTGGACTTTCTAAAAGATATATTTGAAATGTTAATGTTTAGGTATCCACCCAGGGAGTACAAAAATGACCTCAACACGTGTGTCCCCGATTTATTCAGCATGAGGGTAAACAGCTTCTCCGTTGTGATGGTACAGATCTCTTTGAAGTAAACGTCCAAGGGTTGGTAGCCCCTGTTTTTTTTCTTCAACTCGTCAGCATATTTCTCCTCCACTCTTCTAAAAAAGGAATACACGCAGATAACAGTCTGCACAAAATGGGAACCATAACTGGACGATGCTAACTTCAGGTAGTCCGAACAGATGACATGCAAAAAATGATTGTAAATTTCTATGCATTGCATGCTCATTTTGCTATTGACGCCCATTTTGCCATTTCTCTCATCCTGTACATCCTTCTCATTATACTTTAGCAGGAAAAAGCAGTAGTATATCAGCTTTTCCATTATCTTGGAGCACTTCCTCTGATCTGCTAACTCCTTCTCGCTCCCTTTTATTTCGTCTCTTATCTTTATCAAAATGCATATATCATCTTCAACATCGTAGGAGTAGCTCAAATTGATCGCACCAAAACATTTATTTCCTTTTCTTAAGTTATCCTCCTTCAGTTCGTGAACAAAATACTTCTCATACTTTTCATTTAAAATGTACGAAATGTTAATCAGGTAGTCCATAATTTCTTCTACATTTTTTTCTTTGTCTTTCCTGTAGGTTTCACGCTTCCGATCCAATCTGCCTTTGTCGCCATTCCTATTCCCGTTGCCCTTATTAAAATACTTCCATTTGTGTCCATTCGTGTTGGCTCTAAACCCGTTCATCCTGCCCGTGGTCGGCCTATATATCTACATACAGTCATCTAACGTTTGTAATATCGTCCGCTCATGCATTGGCGCCAATGCATATGCATGTTGCCTATACAAGGGGCACGACATACAGTGGTACAAAATACACAAAAAAGAGAGGAAATTCTCCTAATCTTCTTTGTTCCCAATTCTATCAGTCGCAAAAGGAAGAAGCTCTTCAAATTTGGAAATGTATATAATTACTGCCTCAGTGTTACGAAGTTTATTCGATTTTTTTTTTTTTTACCAATGGGCAAAAGAAAAAAAAAAGATAAGGGAAAAAAGAAATGGAATGGATTTCAACTATTCTTTTTTTTTTCGCTTTCCCTGTATGGTTCTGCATGAATTTGCTACTTAAAAATCTGTTCACGTATTTGTTTAGAGCCGTTCTTCGTTTTGCTGCAAAGATGGGGGTGGTATAGTCGCTACGGTTGTTTATTGGGATAGTGATATATATCATTGCTTGGTTTCGCTTCCCTTTGTTTTTCCCTGTTTTGCTTTATTTTTTTTTTCTCGTTAAGCCTGTCCTTTATGGTTGCCCCATTTTTTGAAGGTTCCTCCCCCCCGTCAGCAATTCGCCATGTCAATAAATTGCGACAGCTCTAAGCGCACCGAAAATGTTATATCCCCGACGACGCTTTCTGCCTATTCAACTGCGCGCGTATTTTCCTCTGTAAGCTCGGGAGAAAAACAAATTGACACCGGAAAAGAACACTCGCAGGAAAGTTCCATAATTGTGTTCTGTTCCTCCGAATTGTAATAACACCTCAATGCTTTATCTCCTTTTTTTTTCATTCTCAATATGCCAATTTATCGCGTAACTTATCACTGTAAGAAAGCCACTCTGATGGTAGGGAAAATTCTTTGGAGGGGTTCCTTCCGCCTACAGTTGTGCCTATAAACATGTTTGTAATTTTTTCTTTTTTTTTTTCCAAATGGACGGATAAAACGTGTGAATTTTCCTGAACGGTTCATAACTTTTTTTTTTTCAATTTCCACCTGTTTTTGAGAAGTGCCATCGTGCTAGACCGCTAATGGGGCGAATGCCCAAAGATGAAAAAAAGGAAAGGCGGTTCCTACGTCGCGCTTTAAGTTCTATGTGCATATCGTGCATACGCAAAATAAAAAAGACCAACGAAGTGATATACCAAGTGAGATGCTACTTAATACTTCGGACAAATAACGCACACGTGGGTGGGAGCGGCCAGTCCATCATTACACCGCACATAACATCTTTGCTCGTCCACAATGCGGAGACCACGTAATGTTATTTCCTTCTTTGCGAAAAAGGAAGATTAAGCGACAAAAAAAGCACTTTTTTCTGGGCCCACTTCGTGTTTTTTGAAAATGCTCCCTCCGCAAAACGAAAAAATAACTGCTGTCGAAAAGAGCAGTCCAGTGAATGACACTTGCTGCACATGAATACGGACAACCATTTGATAACTCTTCGCTTTCTTTTTCTTTTTTCTTTTTTTCCCTCGTCCTCCTACGGCAATTATATCCGTAATATGTTAACAAAACTGCCATGGATCACTTTCTTTTTCTCTTCGTCGCGGTTGTTGCAAGAATAAGACTCTTTTCTAGGTACATATGAAAAAGGGGGTTTCCTTAAACATCGCATTGAGCGCAAACACGTAGGCCTACACTTTTGGGGGAAAAAAGAGCCAAATGGAAAAGCAAAACGGTAGGGCGATAAAGCGATGACGCGGTGACTTGGGGTAGTAATGCGCCACAATAACAGCACGGATTATAGCACGTAGATATTTCCCCCTCCCCATGGGGATTACCCCCCCTTGTGATAGATGATTCTCCCAATTCTCCCGATTCGGCGATTCTCTGGACTCTCCTGAGAAATAAAATGCCACGCGTAAGGGAACTCCTGCTCATTTCATACTTCGCGCTGCTGCCCCCCTTGGCTCTCATTCCCCCTGTGCTCAGAACCAGCTGCATGCACGTAGGAAGCGACTACCTGCGCGACCTTCTAAAAATGGGCGTATTTGAAAAAAACAGCACAAAAATAAAAAAGGAGGTGTTCGAAAATATAAACCGTACGCACGAAACCTACTCGTCATGTAAAACCTGCATCAAACTCATTCAGCTGATAGGGAAAATAATCCAAAAGAAGAAAGAACTATATGTAGACATAGCCATAGAAGACACACTGGAAACCAACTTGTGTGATTCCAACCTCTGGCACGAACATTTCAACTACGACGAATTGTTGTATAGTGAACATGTTCTCGAGTATTGCAAGCAAACGCTGAACCTCACTAGGGATAGCATAGAACAGCATATCTACCAGCTTTACAACAACCAGGAATTATTTTATCGCACAGTCTGCTTACCTATCAACCCACTATGCAAAACTGCCATTCAGGAGGAGAAAAGTAACCTCAGCACAGACTCCAAAGTTAAACTGATATATCAACTATACTGTGACTATTTAACTGGAGAGGTATGGCTGCTCATATCTTTCCTCCACCAAGCATACACTGTAATGTATGTTACTGCAAAACAGTGCATTCAATTGCCTACACCTGGGATTTGCCCTCTTTTACGCGTCAGAAGGACAGCCACCCCCCTTATGCAGCGCTTTACAATCACTTGTCGGATAACGGGACTCCCATCTCTACGGCAAATGCTGCACATCACCTTTTACCATTTTGAAACCCTCCTCTACACACAGGAAAACTATAGGCAAACGAGCCAAGGAGTGCCATATAAAAAAATCCAAACCGCAGATGGCTCAAATTTAACCCTGAAGAGAAGCGACTATGCCGTTGTCCAATCCGAAATTGGGACAATGCACCAGAAAAAAGTCACCGACGATTTTGCAGCCAGGAAATGGAGACTGCTTCGAATTAGTGAGGTAAGGACAGAGGAATGATTAGAGCAGAGCGAGAGATGCTCACTGCGCAGTGATGAGATGGCACACACGACCCCATTGCCGTTTCCGCATCTCCCCCCCCTTACGATTACAAAAACAGCTTGAAGACGACGTACTGGAGGTGTTCCTACGGATGAAACAACAGGACGTCTTTAAGTTTCTGTTTTATTGCAAATCATCTGAAGGTACGCAAAAAAAAAAAAAAAAAAAAAAAAAAAAAAAAACACAATCGTTGCGCTTATAAACCTGCACATGTAGACCCACCCCGCTGCGCACAAAAATAAACGTACGTCCGAACCGCACCCACAAGGATGTCTTCCCCATTTTTCAGACCCCATACTGGAAGTCAAAATTATAATACACCGCGTATCGGACAATGTCGATGCCATCGTTAAGGGGAGTTACCACCACGATTTGATCACAAATGACAGGCACTTTTTGCTATACAAGCGGCCCGCTACATGAATTACAAAATGGTGGGAGGACGGAGCCAAATTAGTGTAACTCCTTCGAAGACTTCTTAATATTCACTGATGAGGTAACCTCCTTGCTCTTTTTACCTTTGGGAGGGACTTCCTTCTTTATATGTCCATAGTTACCCTCTGTAACGCAGCAACCTTTGTAACCGGGTCACCTACCCCAAATGGGCATCCAACCGCTTCACTATTCGAGCCTCCAAGTCGCGGTACAAGTTATCCATCTGGGAAGTAAGCGGAAAAAAAAAAAAAAAATGTTCCATTTCGCTGCCCCTTCCTGCTTATGTGCTACATCCCTGGTTTGACGTCCCCATTTTTCTCACCTTTGCGATCAAGTACCCCTCAGATGCACTGCATTTTTCTTGGTCCTTCTTCCGTGTCCCATCTACCTGGCCGGAGCTTTCCACTCGCTTGCACAGTTTCTTCAAATTTCTATTTTCTTTAGACTTATTGGTTTGGAAAGTGACTGGCTCCTTGCCTATTTCGAATCTGCTAAGACGGTTTTGCACTTCTCTTATGAATGCATCTTCCGAGCTTTCTCCGAATGTCAGGTGGTTTATTTCGCCAACATGCACTGCAGAGGGGAGTGGTTGTGTGGGGGTCGGTGAGTGAGTCCGTCTGAGTGTGTCTGTGTGAAGATAAATCCTCCCGGCCGTTGAAGCAGCTTGACGTGGAGTACTTCAACGGACGAAAGGAAACAAACAAGTTCACTTCGTAGACAGGAGGTGAAACGTTTATAGTCTGACATAGCTCAGGGTGGAGAACCACATCGGTAGGGGCTCCTTTATCAAAGTGGTAAAGGATTGTGGAAAAGTGCTCTATGATTAGAGTCCCCCAGTGCAACCGCCTCCCCCACAGGAAGTATATTTTGCATGCTCTTTCTCACGTACAGTTTAGCAATCTCCTGACGTAGTCCCCCCCGGAGGGAGTGTCCAAACTGCAAATCGCATCATCTTCGTCGAAGCCAATCTCATCATGCATTTCCAGCTTCCCCAAGTCCTCAATCCCACTCTCAAAATGTATATCATAAATTGGGACAAAAATAAATTTATAAAAAAAAAAATTTCGGAAAAAAGTATTTAAGGCATATTTTATTAATAGCCTCAGAGAGGAGTAGGAAAATATTTTAACGCAACTTGGTGACCTATTAACTGAATGATGTAACATGACCTTTTTTAATTCTGCAAAAAGGTCAACAATATGGCCTCCCCTCTCATTTACTAATTTGAAAAAAATGTACTTCATAATGGACAGGTAGGTTGAAATCTCAACGATAGACAAATCTCTGCTGATGCAATACGTCAAGGTGTTAGAGAAAAGATCACTTACAATTTTTTTCATTTTTTTCCTTCTCATCACGTTCGTACTGTACACGTCGAAAGAGTCACACTCGCTTCGAACCCTGTGCGATGTGACCCCATTTGCCATACCAAACGGGAAATGCTTCCCTTCCAAACTGACAACGTCGCGTTGCTGAAATTTCTTCCCTTCAACCACTTCGCCATTTAAACCAACTGGTAGGAAGTCATCAATAGATAACTTAGCCTTCTTGATCTTTCCCCTCTTGGCTATTTCGTCTTTGCTCCTAAAATGGATGTTCAGTTTTTTTATTAGTGCCCTTCTCTGTGTCCTCCTATCACTAATAACTATGATTTTCCTCATCTCATGTTTGTTTATGTCCGCACAGGTTAGGAACAACCCCCCTTTCCTCTCTCCAGGTCGTTCCCCCTTCGGCCTATTCATTTGTTGCCTTCTGAAGAAGAGACGTTGGTGAGTGGGCAGAAGAGGAGAGTCGTAAGTGCACAGGAGGGGGAAGGCGGTAACCGTGTATAACACACAGACGCCTACACACAAAGTGAATGCTCCGTTGATTGAAATTTACTTAAAGCTTCCTTCCCCCCAAAAAGGAACAATTGAACAAAAAGGTAAAAAGACGTAACTGACAAATCTGCGCTTCCATTCGGTGAGCTGTCCTGATTCGTGGAGTCATTCGTCCCTCCCTCGCTCCATAAAACATGGCATGTCAAAAGGGAACAATTTTTTGGTACATTTCCCGCTCCACTGTTACTTCGTTTTATTTTACTTCGTATCTTCTTCTTAACTTGCTCCAATGTAATGTCCACCGTTTTTGCACACCCGTGTGCAAAGCCTCACAAATCGGGTGTCCTAAACCCCACACGTGTGAAGGCCCCCACATGGGCGCGCCCATTCTATGCTAGTTTATTCCACATTACCTCCATACATGGCCGTTAAAATGGATAAATTTGCCGTACCACGCGCGACCAGAAAAAAAAAAAAAAAGACACACCACGCCAAGAAATTTTAAAGAAAGATAACTCCCACGTGCGATGGCGACAAACAGAGTACTTCCACGTAAACAGCAATATGAGGATATATAGCCTCACAAAAAAGAGTTCAATTAAAGGGTTTTCAAATGGGTAAATAAAAAAAAATAAAAAACGACGAAGAAAGTGACAAAGAAAACAAAATGCACAGTAAAGAATTGCACATTAACGGAGGACGGGGGAGAAACATGGTGGAAAAATATTACACCACAAATTTAAATGGATAAGCTTACTGATTATAAGAACTGCATTGCGGTCTGCATGGGAGAAACCCACAAGAACAGCCACAAAATCGGCAAAGTAGGCCAAGTGTGCAGCATGCGCCACGTGGGGGGGTCACCATGCGACGTCCTCGCGAACACAGTCGCATATATCTCCACCCACATACACACACGTAAAGTTCGCACAAATCAGTACAAATGGGGAAGAAGGGGAAGACACCTCCCTTACAACGTCAATGATATTATCACCTCCGCGACCTTCTCAAATGTGAGTATGCTTATTGAGAGTTAAAAGATATCCTCTTCTTTTCCTCGTCTTTTCCTCCTCTTTTTCTCTTCTCCTTCTTATCAGTCTGGTTTACATTGTAAACTATGGGCACATCGCCCCTTCCGCAGTCAAAATTTCTCTACCTGTGGTACAACACAGGGGGGGAATATTCTGCATAATTGGTTCAAAAAAGGGGGGGCAATGTTTTCCCATTTTCACTTGGACGCATTTGTTCTTGCTCCCCCAACATATTCGGACATACGTGGCAGTCGACACCAAAGGGACAGAAACAAGACTGTGCAAAAAGGCGGACATTTGGTGTATCCTTAGAGGTGCATATCGGGTGACTGCTTACCTACCCATAATAGTTGTACTGCCCATAATCTCCTCCTCCAGTTCCTTATGCCCCGTAAGCGTTAGGCATATTCATGTGGGCATCCCCCTGCTCGTTCTCTCCTGTGTGTTCACCCCCGTTCGGAAAGTAGGCGCCTCTTTGGTTTCCCCTCTCCTGGCTTCTGGGCCTGTACTTGTCCTTGTCGGGGTTGTAATTGTAATTGTGATCCTGATGGTGATCGCGGTTGACATCGCGGCTGTAGTTGTGATTATGGTTGTGGTTGTAATTGTGATTGTAATTTTGATCCGGATCGCGATTCTGGTTGTAATTCTGGTTGTAATTGTGATTATGGTTATGAGTGTAATTCTGATCTTGATCTCGGCTGGGGTTGTAATTGTGACGGTAACTGTTACCTTGATCGCGGTTGTAGTCGCGCTCTCGGTAGCGGTGATGATCTCCATTGTGGTCCCTGTCTCTGTGCCTGTGCTTATCCCTGTCTTTATCCCTATCCCGATCCTTCTCTCTATCCCGATCCTTCTCTCTATCCCGCTCCTTCTCTCTATCCCGCTCCTTATTCTTATCCCGATCGCGGCTGTCCCTGCGCCTGTGCTTATGCCTGTGGCGGTCGTGCGACTCGCTGCGTCTGCTTCGGTGGTGACGGTCCCGCTTGGAGCTCCTGTGCTCGTCCTTCTTGTGGTGTCGGTGGCCTTTCAGCACGTCGTTCATCTCATCGCTGTCGTCATCGTTCCTCTCGTTGTACAGCGCCACATTTTTGTAAATCTCCTCTACCTTCTTCTTATCGTTTCGGTACTTATCTTTGTTAATTAGGGCCGTCCAGTTAATATTATGAGTGACCTTTTTCCTTTCATCGGATCCCCTTGGAGGTCCTTTTCCACCACCCAGTCGTCTAGGAATCCAATTTTTCACCGTCCTTCCCCTTTCCACATCGACGAGAATTCTCCTATTGTCTATCTTCTTCCCATCAGCCAAATTGTATGCATCGTTAAAACTTTTTGTGTGTTCAAATTCTATGAATCCATATCCTTTTGGTTTAAAATTTTTATCATATATTATTTTCACTCTTTTTATCTTTCCATACACTTCAAATTCTTTTTTTAATTTTTTCTCATTTACATCGTAGGATAGTCTTCCAATAAAAATGGTTTTCTTTGGGTCGCTTGTCAAATCGGCATTTTTAAATGGGTCATAATCCTTTCTCATTTCTTTCAGCATTAATTCGTTGTATGTTATTTTTTCTTTCTTCTTTCTTTCCTTCCTCTCTTTTGCATTTTCCCATTTTATCTTTGGGGGGGGTTCCTTATCCTCGAAAAGATTCAGATACTCGGAGATGCCGCTGTATGCCTGGTGCTTCTTCTTCTGGATGGGTTTGTAAAAAGTGAGTAGTGGCCTGGCTTGGAACAGGATTAAGAGGTGTGGTGGCATACCGATGGCCGACATCTTTTACTTACACTTGTATGATGTGCCTATCTGTGTCCCTGCCTGTTCGGGGGGTGCCACGGCAGTTTAGCACGTGGTAAAGTTAACCAACTGGGGTGAACAGAGACGAGGTTGGTATTGCAAAGAAGTGGTGACACACCCCTGTTTAAGAGCAGCCTCTTTTCAGCTTCCCCTTTTGGGCCAACTTTCTGCAGCATAATATTTCTTTCCCCTTTTTTGTGTCGAAATTGGAAGAACGAAAAAGGGGACATAAATCTTCATTTATGACAACTGCTACTGGGATACCATGCGTAGTACATTCGGGAAGTAAAACTATTTTTGCCTGCTGCCCCTTTACTTGTTCGCTTCGCACCTCACCAAAACTGACTTGTTCTGGGGCATCACGCTGATATATTTCCACCGTTGCCCTTCTGGGGGGAGGCGGTCAGTGTCCCCTCTTTTGTTTCGCCTATTTATACAAATATTTTGCCTTTTCTTGGGTTCCTTTGCATTTCTTTCGGCCTCTTACCACTTTGGGGGGCTTTTTTCTTTATGTTCCGCTTTTTTTTTCTTTATTTTTCCCTTCTTCCCTTTGTTAAATTTTTCCATCTCCCTTTTTTCGCTCTCACATAGCTACAACGCGCTCTTTCTCTATTTGGCAAAGGCTTCCCGGAGCGCATATTTTCAACGCCTTAATTCGGCCTGCCTTTCCCACTGCGCGGATTGCGATATGCTTACCCCTTGAGATTTACCCCTTGGAATTTTACGATGCTCTCCTTCTTTTCTTCTCTCAGCTATATGACATCGCAAGTGCGAGATGGGTGTTTTCTTTTGATTTCCACTACAATAATAAGCTGCGGAGTCTGCCGCCACCTAGTGAAAGGTCGGTCGTTATGTTTTTTTTTTTTTGGCGCTTCTCTTGCGCATTATATATGCTATGCAAGAATCTGCTGGGGAACCCCGCGTTTTTTTTTTTTCTCAAGGCATACGTGCTGTGGCAACTCGTATTTTCCTTTTTCCTTTTTTTCTCCTTTTTTTTCTTCGTTTCCCTCTTCTTTCTTCTCTCAGGGCAACAACCCCCCCCGCACCTGCACTCCGTTCGCTTAACCGCAATAGGGATAAACCGGAAAGCAGCCCTGGACACGCACTTTGGCGAGAAAAAAAGGTTAAAGCGAAGAGTGGAACACATTCCAGCCAAGTAATCCCATGGCTCTTGCGTCATCGATCCCATAGCGGCGGAAGTGCACGTACATATGTAAACAGATATAGGAAATTTCATGCTCCATATTACACGCAAATCAACGAACCGCGCTAAGATCCGCTCGTGCGTCCAACCCATTTCGTATATACCCCCAGATTTATCGTCCCCCACCTCCTTCGAATGCTTGTCATTTTTTACTCCTTGTTTTCCAGACACTTTCGGATCAGAACGAACTTCCAATTTTTGTTGCCAATCTGCTGCGATAAAATAAGATCTTACCGCAGGGTGCACATCGAGCCTGCTTACCTCCGTGCATGTATCTGCCACTGTTTCAGTAAGAGGAGAGGAGCAGAGACAGAATGGCCACGCCTTTGTACCTTTTCCAGTCATGAAGGAGTTTGCACTTTACCGCCACGAGCCAGTGTACACATTGCCGCCACTTTTTCCCCTCTCCCATAGGTTCCACTCATCCCAGTCTTCTCCCCCTCCTGCAAAATGAAAAATGAAAAAATAAAATTAGTGAGCTTCGAGGGGGATGAATTCATCGTTGATAAGTACACTGCCTCTATGTCCACCGTCATACTTAACATACTGGAAGGTACGTACATTTATGTGTACTGGGGTGATATTGTAGTGGGGGGTAACTCCACCGATTTGCGGCCACGTACGGGGGTAATCACCTATGTGCTTGCTTGCGTGTGCTCCGTCCAGCTGCTGATCTAAGCGGTGACCCAACCGGTGCTTCCGTAACGTGCGCTTTGCCGTCCGTCTCTCTGCCAGCCACTTCTCTGTCAACTGCTTCTCCCCTCCTTGCAGTAATGACGGCCGAGGAAGACACCATACCACTCCCAAACATAAAGACGCCGATTCTAAAAAAAATCATCGAATACATGGAGTACCATATTAACAACCCCGCGGAGGAAATCCCCAAACCCCTCATCACCTCCAACTTGCAGGACGTAAGAGCGAGACGTAATTTGGCCCCTCAAAAAAAAAGGGGCCCCTACTTCCAACCATGTCTTAATATAATTGACCTGTCAACCATCACATGTGAATCATCATATGTGCACCATCCCATGCGGAGGTTCATAACTCGTTGCGCCACCACGGCATAATGTACACTTCCATACATCTTTGTTTTCCCCCTCCCTTGAATACACGCCCAAATGTAGGTTGTCTCTAGCTGGGACTACGATTTCGTAAGCACAGATAAGGAAACCCTGTACGAATTGATAGAGGTGAGAAAGAAAAAAAAAATGGGACTCTTACTGACGACAATGGTGACGACGCCAGGAGGATAGAGCCAACTTAACCGAGAGATTTTTCCAACCCTGTTGATCCTTCCCCCATCCCGTATATGTGCACATAGTTGCATTCACGTGAATTTCTTAACATGCACGTGTGTTTGTTTTTCCCTTCACGGACACATTTTTAGGCATCCAACTACCTCGATATAAAACCACTGCTAGACTTAACCTGTGGGAAGATTGCCTCCATGATGAAGGACAAAACTACAGAGGAAATTCGAGCGGAGTTTGACATCGTTAACGACTTCACCAGGGAGGAAGAAAAGCAGGTAGGGTTGAATTCTTCAAAGAAGGGCGGGAAATAGCTTCACTGCAATTTTTTGCTAGCAAAGTTTCAATAGAAAAGTTTGGCTAGCTCATTTTCCACTTCTGACCCCCCTTTATGGGAGAAAATTTACCCACTCTATATTTTCCCACGTTGGCATCCTTCAAACGTTCGTGATTGTTCCACGTTGCTTCTCCACCTTGTAGATACGGGAAGAAAACAGATGGTGTGGTGACATCTGAAGAGGACACACGAGATGAAGCAATGACGAACGAATGACGAACGTGTGCATGTGCACCTCGCGATGGGCCCTCCCTCGACCAACAAAGGGTTTCGAGAGAGTAGCGGCAAAAGGGAAGAGACAGGCGAGGCAGGATGAGGCCAGGCGAAACAGGTCAATCATACCAAACATCCCGGACCAAGTAGACTAATAACACCATGCCAAGCACACCATATTATAACATATCTGACCAGGGCACCGGAGCCGTGGACCCCCTTGCGCAGATGCCACTACAAACGCGCGTATCACTGCATTTCGTTTTTAAACACACCGAGCTGTCCCCTCATATCCCTCACTCGTACAACTTGTCCAGTCCAATATTGTCATGCGGTTATTATTATTGTTGCATAGTTAGTGACATTTTTTTTTTTTTTTTTTTATTATTCCTTCACCACACTAGTGCTTGTGGTAATTCCCAGCCATCGATAGGACCATTGCGTTTTATCAGATGCAACATGACCGATTACGGATAAATAAAAAATAGAAAATCAAACTAAAACAAATGGGAGAAAATCCGATTCTTTTCTCTGTGTCATCCCATTTCTCAACCTTGGCGAAGCAGTGAGTCGTTAAAACAGGGTAGGGTACTTAATTCGACTGGATTGAAGAGGCACGAATACGTGAGTGTGTGCCTCTCCATGGCGGGATCTCTTTAATGGGGGTAGTTCCTGACTGCTCATTTGCCCCTCCACTGGGGTAATCAGCTGGTAGGAAGATTCTGGTAGGAGATTTACCTTCAGCTGATGCGAACATATGTACCCGTCCATAAAACACCCCTCGGAAAAAAAGGAACACCCACGGAGCTATCTAAAGCATGCTGGTATAAGTAGTGGTGTAGAGTAAAATCTCTGCAGAGAGTGCAGAGACCCTCTCCTCTTGAAACAGAGAAACCGGCCAGCCCACCACACTTAGTGTGTAAAACTGGGATCGACCCTAAACACCTTACATGCACCGACTCACGGGGGCATCCCTCTACAAACACTGCACACGCATGTGCTGCTATCCATTTTGCTACAACTTTTTTATTTTTTAAAGAATGGTAAAATATTCGTGCATCAATAAAAGCGTGGACGCGCAGCGGGGCAGTTTTACAGCTATATATAGGCACCTTACACATACACGTGGACACGTATATATACATCTGCGTGGCCATATGCCGCTGCGCGCGCTGCAATTTGCATCTTTAAAAATTAAACTCCCTTCCGGGCAAGCATACGAGGATGCGTTAAATGTGTGCTTGGCCATGCTTGGCTCGCTCGGGCAACACGTCGGTGCGCACGCCCCTTTCCACACGTGGACCGATACATAGAAGTATCCAATGTATAGGAAAAAAATTAAAAAATAAATCCTGAGAAATATTAAAACTTAAGCATTAACATGGGAGGCCATTTCTCAGGCCTACATATACATATAAAATATATTGGGAGAAAAAAGAAAAAAAGGGGGAAAAAAGCAACGTGTGACTGCAGCTTGGTGAGAAGTGTGCGCGCATAAATAAATACACACATAGACACATACGCACACTAGCAGGTGGACGCATGTAGGTTAATGCATACTCTCGTGTGCAAGACCATCTACTTAATTAAATGATGAGGTGAAATTTAATTTCCCTGTGCATAGGCATGAATGAATATACGAGAATATGCTTAGGCGCACGAGCGGTCACCTTTTTTTTTTTTTCTTCTTTTTTAATACGCGGCTGTGTTCTTCAGGACCGAGCGTCATTACCGATGTACTTGTGCTGGCACATATGGTTGCATAAATAATTAAAAAGGTAGGATAAATTCGTTTTGTCTTTCTTCTTTTTGCTTTCTTTTTTTTTTTTTACAATGGTTAAGATGGATACTTCTTTCTAGGGAGGAGAAACCACATCGTGCTGGGGTTGGCAGAGGATCACAGCAGTGGTAGGTTCATAAATCTGTGCGCCCCTGTATACGTGTAACCACTACACCTGCTTCGGTATGTACTTCATGCATACTGCCTCTACGCGCCATACGTAACCTTCGCGCTCTGTACAAGTCTACACTTCTCGGGGAGCCGGGGAGAAAGCACCGAGTAATCTGAGCAAATGTCACATGGGTAACACATAACAAAGGGGAAGCATACTCGTCACACACATGGGCATAAAAACACCTTTTCACAGTTACCCGTCTGTGCATTCTTCCTTTCGCTTACTCGTTCACCCCTCCCCTTCAACGTTTAATTCTTTTAAAAACAAATAATTGGGGATTCAACAAGTGACCACATGCGTAGTGCTCCTTCTCATTGATGTGGAACCTCCTTTCTACGTCATGCAAAAAAAGAAAAAAAAATAATTCCGCAAAATCGTCATATCAGAGTATATTCACAACCCCGGTGCCTGCCTATAGATGAATCCCCACCTCACAAGTCACTGCCCTGGTTGAGAGTTCTCGATCTGGATTTGTCTCCTCCGACGCCATCTCCCGCTGCGCCTCCTCCTTCCTCATCCACTTCTAGCCCTCGTTTACTTTGCTATTCTGCTCATTCATGTTTCTCATTTCTCTCATTCTGGCCTTTCTCAGATCCATCGAATGCATCACTTTGTTCCCCGAACCGAAGTTTCCCCCGATGGAATTCTTGTTAAAATCAAATTTCTGGTTGCTGTTGTTCGCGCTTCCAAAATTTCCCATCTTCCCAAAGCCCTCCCCACCCATCTCGTTCCCCATCACACTCCCCTGTGCATTCGGCCCCGCATTTATCAAACCACCCTTGAACGCCCTGTTCCCCTTTTCCTCATTCTTGCTATTCAGAAGGTTCCCCTTAAAGGCGCTGTTGTTTTCCGCCTCCTCGTTGCTCTTTATAAAAATGTTCTTGTTATTTCCGGTCATGTTTGTCGCACCCTGGAAGTTCATATTCGCCATTTTTCCGTTCCCGAAGTTGTCTTTCATCCCGTTGGGGTTCATCCCATTTGGGGCCATCCCATTTGGGGTCATCCCACTGGCGGTCATGCTGCTCATATTCACGCCGCCTTCACCACCGCCGGAATTGTTGTACCCCCTCACGTTCTTACCGCTTCCGCTGTTATTATCCCCACTGTTCATACCTCCCCCCGTGTTCATTTTGTCCGCTTCTCCTCCCCCGGGGTTCCTATTAGCCGAACTGGCGACTCTCCAGTTGGTCTCAGTATCTATGTCCTTTCTCCGAAAATTTCTGTCCTCTCTCTTTTCACTTCTCTTCAGGTGATTTACATTGTTCCCTTGTCCCCCAAACGCGTTATTTGTCGCCTTGCCACCCACCATGTCTTCAGCATTATGCATATGGTTGTTATTACTGTTCGCAAAGTTTTTTCCACTCCTACTGAAATTATTTCCCCTTATCATATTTCCTCCATTATCATTGAACTTGTTTTGATTATTTTGTGTGGCCATGGAAGCGAATCGGTAATTCCCTTGGTCCACCCCCCCTCCTCCTACTCCGAATCCTCCTAAACCTCCTCCCCGTTCTAATGCGCCTTCTAAGTTGCTTATTAGGCTGTTCTGATTATTCCTCTGCTGACTGTTATTTCCTTGCATATTCGGTAGCATATTATTCATTGGGAAATTCATTTGCATGTTCATGGGTTGGCTCATATGCATGCTCATCGATTGGTCCATCTGCATGTTTAGTGGTTGACCCATCTGCATGTTTAGTGGTTGACCCATCTGCATGTTTAGTGGTTGACCCATTTGCATGTTTGGTGGTTGACCCATTTGCATGTTTAGCGGTTGACCCATCTGGATGTTTTGCGACTGTCCCATCTGTTGCCTCATCCTGGAACTCCTCTTTTGCATGCCGCCCTTTTTCTCCACATTTTCCAAGAAGAAGTTCTCTTCCTGTGGCAACGTCGTAGGAGGAAGTGGCGCAGGGCTCTGCAATCCTCGCTTTAAAAAGCACCTAAAGCCAACCATATGCTTCCCTTTAAACCCAGGCATAATATAACCATTTTTAACCATCTGCTCCTTGTTTTCATTATGAACGTTATTGTTTCCTCCATTCACATCAGTAGACCCTTCAAACCACTTCCTCTGGTTATTCTCATTTTTCTTTTGACCCTCAAACATATTCATTCCAAATTTTTTTTTTTCAGGGAAACCGTCGATTTTCATTTTTTCTAATCCGGCATTATTATTTAGGAATTGTTCATCTCCTTTCTTAAAATCTTTTAATTGTTTTTTTTTCTTATCTTTATCTTTAGACGACTCTGATTTTATTTTTTCTGTTGACTCCAGCAAATCTGGGAAGGATTCGTCGTCTATTTTTTTCTCCTTCTCTTCTCCTGCCTCTTCATTGTTCTTTTCATCTTTCTTTTTCCATGCCGATCCAGCTTGCTTCGCGTTGGCGCCTGCGTTTGCTGCCCTTCCTCTAACGCTCACACTGATGCCTACAGGAAAGAGGGGAAGAAAGGAGGGGGTAAAAATTCAAAATGTGCATTCGGTTTCTTTACATCAATGGGCACAAATTGCACGGAGACATCACAACAAATTTGCAAAAGGAGAAAAGCGCAGTTAAATAGGACTACTCAAATTGCTAGCACATCCAGAAAAACAATCAGTGACATATGCGCAGCTGGAGACACTTCTTCTCCCTCTTACCCTTCTTCAAGGAGTTCCCCCTGAGGAGGTGCTTCCCCAGAGAGACGCTGTTAACAAGTGGCATTTCATTTTCCTCAGAAGTTTCGGGGGCGTTCTTCGTCTCCTGGTCTTCCTTTTTCAGTTGCTCTTCCTTGACGAGTTCTACAAATGGGGCGAATGGTTGGACAGAGTGGCCTAGTTTGTTTGTATTCCATTGGGGGATATGCGGCACCACTACGCCGCTGAGAGGCCGCTAAAATGTGCTACCGTGGCGCTGCGACATGCTCCGACGGCACTCACCTTTGTTGTTATTCTCATTCTGAATTTCCTTATGTTCCATGTTTTTACAAATCTGCCTTTATAATTTCATAATTTGTCTCCTCTGTGGTTCGTCAATTGGGTCAAAAAGGCGGCCGCGGGTGGATTTCTTCCCTATGAAGTTCTTCCCTTCGGACTCCTTCCTATGGGCTTCTTACTGCAGGCTGCTTCCCGACAAAAACACACTTCAAACCGTTGATGGATGCGGAACAAACGAGGAACAAACGCGGGGTCACTCAATTTTTCTCAACAACGGACGCGGGAACACAGAGCGGAGGAGCATCAAAAACCCAAAATACACCCCCGTTGTAACAGGCGCATTAAATTTCAAAGTCAACTTTCTGTGAAAGCGGAACGAAACGCTGCTACGACGGAGGAATAACAAGCATATACACTCGACAAACGAAATGAATGACTAAAGAAGGAATGAAAAGTGGCTTGCGATGAAGTACCCTATGTGGCAGCTCGAAAAAAGTGTCATATAAATTTCTCCCTTGAAAATGTGGCAAACGTGCACATTCGTGTTGGGGAGCCTCTCACGTAGTATCCTCGCTCGTGTAAGAAAGGAAAAAAAAAACTACACCCAAAGGGGAGGAGCAAAATGGCAAGCAGGAGGCCACGCGGGATTGGCAGCATAAAAATAATGGTACACAGATGATGCGCAAAATTATAAACAACAATTAAATGCCAAAAGGGGGAAGGAAGGTGAAACACATAAATGTACGCAGCTTTTTCCCAAAACGAAACCGCCAAAAAGAAGAAATAAAAGAAGAAGAAAAAGAAGAAGAAAAAGAAGAAGAAAAAGAAGAAGAAAAAGAAGAAGAAAAAAAAGAAGAAAAAAAAGAAGCAAAAAAATGGTACGTACTATCGTTGGTGAGCTGCGAAAGGGAAACGTACATCCATATGTATACATATACAGGTACATATTACATATACATGTATATAAAAATGGCTTTGCCAAAATACGCAATGAAAATGGGAAGATTATAAAAGAAAATCCACTCGCTAAGGCGAAAGTCCCAACAGTTAAAAAAAAAACGGTGAACGATTAAGCGAAACTGCGATCACTGCATTAATGATGAATACGTTAAAAATATGCACTGCCACGATGCGTGTATCATCGTATGCCCCATATACCTTTGCGTATTAAATGTACGCGAAAAAAAAATTCCCCAGTGGCAAAATTGTACACGCGATCGTCAATTCAAAAGTGGAACTAGGCATGGAAAAATAAAAAAAAAAAAGTACAGCAAAATGGCATCACTGGGCAACAAAATGGCATCAGCAGGCAACAAAATGACATCAGATGGCGACAAAATGGCATCAGCGGCTAACAAAATGGCTGCAAAACCCTAGCGAAGTTTGAAAAGAGAAAATAAAAACGGCAACAATCGTGGCAGCCATGCGGCGGGCGCAGTTACGACGGCGAAACTCGCTGCGGCGCGTACACGTACGCAGAAGCGAACAAATCCAAGTCCCATATCACGCAAAATGGGCATACGGAGGTAGGTAGCGACTATGCACTGTACTCCTTGGGGTGATCCGCTGGTCAACACCCCTTTGCATCTGTTACAGGCGAGGGAGAAAATAAAATTTATACCTACGTATGGATGATGCACACCGGATGGTATGCACGTATGTAGACCCCTCCTGTTCTGAATCACCCATTATACACGTAGTGAACACCATCCTCCCTCTTTTTAACATTTCAATAAAACACTCGGGTTAATCTCTGCTCATGTTTTATATAGGACTATTGGGAAACTCCACAGGGAAATATATCTTTGTAGACCACCGACATAGGCGCGGCTGGGTAGCTTTCGTGCCAGCATTGTATGTCAATATGTGTAACGCATGTGGTGGAGAGGATTAAATAGGGACCCTCGAAATGTACAAGAACGCTGAAAAGTTCGTCTTCACTGGAAGGTCATCCCGGAAAGTAAAAAAAAAATAACTGTATCCCAAACCAATGTGACAAATATCTCTGCACCATCTTCGAACCACATGAGGAGGTTTCCCACGCGCGAAGGATGATGGGATTATATGGAAAAAAAAAAAAGAAAACATCACACCACCGCCATCCGCCTGCATTTCATTTATATACGGCTTATTAAGTACGCACTTACAGCATGATGCCAATTTTGTGTGTATCCATGATGGATGCAAATAATTGGAATAGTCTAATGGTACGAAGAGGACCCTCGACTTCGTATGAACACACCAGCTTTAATGTTCCATTCTCACACCTGCGCGTCATCCACGGCATAGCGAACTTGTTACAATTATTTTGTCACATTTGCTTTTTTACCAGTTCGTTGTAACAGCGCTTTGGGGCGTAGAGAATGCCAGAAGAGTTGTCAACGTAGGGAAAAAAAAGGAATCAAAGCTGTAGAAAAAAAAAAAAAAAAGACCCTTTTTGTAGTGTGGACTGTGAAATTTTGCACAATTTCGCATAGCATTTCGTCTTTTTTTTTTTTTTTTTTCTACAGCTTTGATTTTTTTTTCTCTCTCCTCTTTGACGTGACACGCCTCTCTCTGCTCTTTTGCAAGAAAACGGTTGTTCCTCTTATGAATGCCATTTCCCATTTTTTATACCTCCCGGAGAAGAAGCTTTTTACAAGTGCAAATAATTCTTGCTTCCCCATGAACTGATGCAAATAGCTATGTCTCTCCATACAGTGACAAATTTGAACAGAAATGGCTGCCCTTTTTTTGGGGGGAATAATTTGAACAGCAACAACATTTACACATTGCCCAAAAAAAAAAATAAAAAAAAAAATGATAAACTACCCAATAAGAATACATTATTTCGAGTTCGTAAAACTGCTTAGGAAAAGGGTGTCACTATGGAATTTTCTCAGCTGGACGGTTTTGTGCTCGGCTAAATAACCTGCCAATGTTCCGTCGCTCGGAACACGTCCGCTCCGCCCATGATTATGAATAGCTGAGATACCTCGAACTGCCTTGAACTGCCTTGAAATGGCATAAAATGAATTCACTGCGATTGGTTTTAGCAGAACGGTCGGAAGAAACGCCCGAAGTTAAATTCGGTAATTTCTTCACCTCCACCACACCGCTGCAATTCCTTGTTGTAGCATTCCTTCCCAAAAAAAGGAAAAATAAAAAAAGGGGCAAAAACTTGGTAAATAAATAAAAGTAAATATCCACCTTACACACACGAATGTATAAACCCACATGGGAAAAGGAACACTGTCAGGAACATTGTCTCATTTTTCCATCTTATTTTCCCTTTCCTTATCCTTCTCATTCTTTTTTCGCCTTTTTTTGCCTTTTCCCATTTTTACGCCTTGCGATCTTTGAGATACCCGGTGAAACCGCTCTACTTTTCTGGAAAAACAAATTAGCCCAAATGTAGAAATGTGGCAGACTCAATGGTTCACTGCATCATTGGGAAGTTTGTCCAGTCGGTAGGACCATGTTTGCCTTTTCTTTGCTACTTCGCCGTTTTATTTTTCCCCCTTTCCCGCTTACAAATTGCCGTAAAAAGCGAACCACGTTACCACAGCGCTACATGTGCATAAATCACTTTCAATGCCTTCAAAGATTAAGTAAAAGACTTTAAGTACAAGAGTAAAGAAAAAAAAAAAAAAAATTCAAAATGGTGCAGAAATTTCGTGTAAGACTATCTACAAATCACAGTTCTTTCGTAGAACTCAATCACTTTCGTGTGATTAGGAAATTAGCCAAAACATCATCTCCAGGGTGGTCATTTAACACACTAGTCAATGTTTTTTCTGCTGAATGTTCGCCGCGTTGTTACACCTTTTTTTTTTTTACACCCAATTTTGCCGCTGAACCATTTTGCGATTTTTTTTTTGTTTCTGCTTCCACGCAGCGCTTCATTATTTGACGAATAATTACTTCCCTGAGAGCTTAGTTATAAATGAAGGGACAGTGACTTCCCCCCCAAACCATAATTGCCACTGTAGAAGGACAATAGTAACGACGTTCGCGTTAGTATTAGTAGCGCGAAGCGGATTTGTCACCTCGCGTGCTCCCAATTTATCCGTGATAGAATTGTGAAATGGGAAAATCAATTACTTACGAGTGAAAAAGTGTTTCACACCCCTCGAATTCGTTCACCTTTGGCTGAGTCGCTAAAGTATTATATATATATGTAGTACTTCCTACCTGCACCTTTGTTAAGACCGTTAATTTGCTCATTTCATTTTTTTTTTCCACCTCTTCAACCCCGCCAACCATCCTCAGTTACTGAATTTCCCCTCCATATTTTTTTGCGTTCCGTTATTTCCCGTACTCCTTGCTTTGGTTGATGTGCTTCCCTTTTCTTCTGTCCCTCCGTTTATATATTTTTCTCCTTTCCTTTTGTTTCTTTGACATTCCTTTTCTTCTATATAATTTTTTATAACACTGTTTAATTTTGTTCAGATTTGTTATTTATTTATTTTTTTTTCCAACCGCTACTGCCTAACAAAGGTTATAAAGATATCACCACACGCTCATAAGCATTGTCGTGTGTTTATGCAAACCTACACGTACCTATCTATATGTATATATGGCCACTCCAGCAATGTTCTCCTTCCTGTTGGACCTTTTTTCGTGCTCACAAGCAGCCACATGTATGTGCTAATTTTTGTCAAACAGGTCCTGTTCAGATTGTACCATTCTGACATCACACAAGTTGTTAAAAGCTTTTACCAAAAAAAAAAAAAAAAAAGCAAGTCCTTTTTTCAATCCACACCATAAGTAGTGGCGAACTGTGCACTTTTGTTTGCTTCCCTCTTTGAAATGTTATTTGTGAAATATTTTTCAACTTAGCGTTTCACGTCAACGTTTCGGTGTCACGTTCCGTTCCAGCCGCTACCCCCTCAGTTCATCCTTCGAAAGGGGATAGCCAATTGGAACAGAAAATAAGCAAGCGATAGAGAGGACGAACAAACCAGAAAAACATACAAGTAGGGAAGCAGCGGAGGAGGACCCGTCTTGTAAAGCCAATCCAAGCAAAGCATTCAAAATGATGTACACTAAAATGTAAGAAAAAAAAGAAAAATCAGAAAACGAACTCTTAGCATGAACAGACCTACGGATGAACACATGCACATCTGTATTCATGCTTAGGACACATGTAAAGCTTTACATTTAGAACACCCGTTCGTGAAAAATGCATATGCTCACCTGTACTTCTCTCGTACGCTGGAAGATGGCATGATGGGGGCAAATCCAACAATGCGTGTATAACTCTCCGGCGCACATGGACACGTTGCAACCTTTGAACCCATACACAAATGAACACAATTATTTCCCTCCCTCCCCTACGCAGGTTGAGTGTGTATTTCTTCGGGGGTTCTCTCCTGGCCACTTTGCTGTTGTCGCACAAAATTGACAATTGGGATTATAGGACGAGGCTAAGCATGTGAGGGGCGCAAAAATGTGTGTGTGTATCTGTATGTGTTTGTTTGTCTGTATGCGGGTGTGTGTGTCTCTATGTGTGTGTATGTGCATGCGTGTACAGTGTGTCAACATCTAGCTCCAAGAACTGTGACGGACGCAACGTGCACACCACCTCCCCTATCCACATCACTGATTCATTTTACCCCCTCCCTTCGCAGAGCCTTACTGATGACATTCGTCAACCTCCTAGCAGTGGCAACGTTGTTCAAAAAATACGTCTACTCTGTAAAAAGAGACATCATCACAATTATCCTAAATGCGTTAATTATGTTTTACTACCCCTTCGTCTTGTTCCTGCACTTCTTTGTAAAAAGAAAAATGATAAGAATGAATGAAAAATGGTGAACGATGGCGAACGATGCCGGACGATGCGAAACGAATGATGAAACATTTTCAGACGCAGTGACAAGTCCACCCCCACCCCAAAATCACTTGAACTCAATGTCACACCTTTCCCCCTTTTGTGCAGACGCTAAGTGAGGTTCGATTCATGATAAAACACGTTTTCAAAAACATAACATTCCACACAGTAGAAAAGTCTTATATGGAGAATTGCAACTCCTTCGAAAACGTCAAGGTTATGGGAGAAGAAAAAAAAGGCGGCGCATGAAAAGAGGACAAACATAGCATACTAAGAGCAAATGAATATATGGCCAACTATTACTCCCCACTTTTTTTCTTTTCCTTTTCATACGTATGCAGGACAAATTTGACTTTTTCGTGATAGCCCACGTGATGGGCTGGTTCGTCAAGGCACTGGCCATTCGCAATTTTTTCCTGTTAAATTTAAATAGCGTATTATTCGAATTGATAGAATTAAGATTTCAGCATATTTTGCCCAACTTTTACGAGTGCTGGTGGGATCATGTAAGTGTTAAGAGTCATCATGGCAAAAAGAGCGCAAAAAAGCAGCGCAAAAAAAAAAAATGTAAAAAGAGCCACAGTGCAAAGGGATAAACACACATCTGGCTCATTTCTCCATTGCCACGATGCAACTCACCTTTGAGCCAATTAACCAGAGCGTGTCCATTCCCCCACCACCACCACCACCACTGCAGATCATATTAGACGTCCTTGTGTCTAACTTGGCGGGAATCCTTATGGGCTTCCTCGTTATGAAGTGGCTAAATATGCCAGTAAGCAAATCGGAACAGAACATCGATTGACCATCAGATCGCATATTCGTGTTTTCTACGTACGTCCCTATATCGCTTTCACCTTTGTTTTATTATTATTTTACTTCATTCCCTTTAGCTGTTTCCTCTGAAAATTCCAGACAAATTTAAACCGAATAAAAAGGGCATCATATTTCCAACTGTAGATAGACTGTAATTGGGAATAGGCATGCATAAAATCATTTATGCCCCTGTGTGCATTTTCCTCTTCGCAAAATACACCTCTTCATTGGCCATCTTCTGCTACTTTTACATTGTCATTAGTTTGCCCATTGGTAGTTATGGCTAGTAGCCAGCTAGCTTTTTTTTTTTTTACCCCCCGTGCAGGTTAAGAAAGGTGTTTACAAATAGCAGCTCCCTGGTGTTGTTAGTTTTGTTCTGCTTCTTGATGAATCTGATCGATTTAAACATATTTTTTTTAAAGGCCGAATTGCACTTGTTGCAAACGAATTATTTAGTATTCATACGTGAAGCAATCGTCGTTGCAATTTGCTGTAAGCATTTTCGAGCACTGATAAACGTTGCACAACTGCAGGAGGTGCGAAATTGACAGTTTATCCCCCCAATTTGTAATCATCTCTTTTTCACACTCTCCTCCCCCCCCTATTTAGTTCAAGCGCCCCTGCAGCTACATCGAATCATTACAGAACAGTAAGCACATCAGTTTCGACATTACGCAATATAGATACGTGTCGTACTGATTGCACATATATACCCGCACGAGTGAACACATCTCGGCCTCTGCTTATGAACGAATTGTCCCATATATTTTACCCCCCTTTTACCCATCTCGTAGGGTAACCCCCAAACGCCTCTACTACATTGTTACTACATTGGCAGTGCTCTTGTTAGAACTTTATTTGGCCATAAGGTGGAAACACAACTTGGTGTCGGACAAATCTGACTTAACTAGAATTAACGTAAGAAGCATTTTTTTTTTTAAAACATGTCTTCCACTCCGTGTGTGTGCGCATGGGGGGAGCTTTTCCTCCTTCCGTGGGTATTCCCATTTCCCCATGTATATATACGTAACCGAGCAGATAGTGACTCATGTGTGCCTTAACCATCCCTCCCTCGCTTGCAGATGATTTGGCTTTCGATAGGTGCAACCGTTTCATCGGCGATAGTACTTCTCTATGCCAACGAGTGCTTAATTTAATCATTTGGTTCATGCAAATTTGACCTTCTTGTATGTTAGCTTATTAGTGACGATCAGTTTAGTGGTAATTCGTCCTTATTAATCAATAATTAATTTTTAATTATTATTAAAATTTACAAGTTTTTTAATCGAATATGATATCACACCATGCACACCGTACGTGTGGTGCATGGGCTACAGTTTCTACATGTGTGTGTCTGCCTAACTGCACGCGCAAAAGCGTGTGTGTACAGTGGTATAAGCACAGACGCATGCCAGATGTGTACGGTGTATTCATATACCCAACCAAGAAGGTGAAATGCCATATTTGATATAATTAAAATTCTAACCATGTTTTTGTGACTGCACTTTTTTTTTTTGTTTGTTTTTTTTCTCTTTTTCTCCTTTACTGTTTTTCTCTTTTTGTTTGTTTTTTATTTTTTTTCCAATTCCCCCTCTTCTCCACTTGCTTACATAAGTATCCTTAAAACCTATTTGATAGCCGTTTTATTTTATTTAAATACGGATTGTGCATAAGTATCACGGAACATTTTTTTATATTCAAAATGTTTATATGTATTTCACTTGAGATTAAATTACAAATTTTAATTCTTACTTTTATGTCCCTCTCCATGTAAAATATTACAGCTGTCAATAAAAAAAAATTTTGTATCTGTTCTGTTAAGTGGTAAGAAGACACCGCGGGTTGGGAACACAACATCAGGCATCTCTTTACCATTCTGTTAATCTCCTCACTGGTGTACGCATCAGATACGAATGTACCCTTTGTACGGGCCACCTCAAACTCGTGTTCACTTATTTTGTTCTGTGACAGTAGGCTTGCAACTGTGGGGGGCTCTGTCATGCCATTGGAGCGTCTGACGACGTGAGCACTGAGGGACCCACCCACAGGCACCTCATCAGAGGGAGACTCAAATACGAACATGTACAGACACAAAAACAACTCCTTCAGATTTTTGCAATTCTGGCCAATGTGCATCATCACTGTGGATAACTCCCTTATCACCTCCTCGACAGCACGTAGTTTTTCCTTTAGACAGTTTTCGTCCTTTTTTTTTTTTAAAAATTGCTCTTCATTCAATAAAGACTCGGTCATATCCATTTTCACTTCCTTAAGAGTTTCCTTAATATTGCTGCATAGATTTTCTGAGATTTCCATCACCCTTATGAACAGTTCATAAAATTTTTTATCTAATTCGAGATAGCTCTTTATATGACTTTTTATCTTGCTGACTGTCAGGTTTGGGTTTCCCATTTCGATGGCCCCATTTTCTATTCCTTTTGTGAACTTGTGGGTTGCTCCCAAGTCGGGGTTCATCTTTTTGTGCAAAAATGTGATATACGGTTTCGGCAGCGGGGGGGTTGCTAAGCGCCTGAAGAATCCTAGGGGTTGTTTTATCACCAATTCATCGTGCGAGTGCCAATTAGATGTGAGACGTCAATATGATCACCTTCCACATACGGATGAGGCTAGCCCATGGCCCTCTCAATTCTTACTCTTCCCTTTTGGACAAGTATATTCCTTTCTTAAAACGGCATTGATCATCTTCGCTTGCGCAGTTTTTCCCCTGGGGCACGCGCCAAAGCGAACTCGGTAATAAGTGCATATAAACATATGTGTATAAAATAGTGCTTCGGCGCGTCATAAATTATCTAACGTGTATGCAAACGTGTTCACATTAGTATGCGCAGTGACTATAAACAGTCGTGAGGCAGCAGACCAGACGCTCAAGATGGATATGTCCTTCCTTCAGTTGTAACCCCCTTTTTGGCAATTTCACACATCTACAAATGTAGACTTGTGAGGGGGCCATGCTATTATCTATACGTACATGCCTGAATGACGAAAATGAAAGTTCCTCCCGCTGAAAACTAGAACTACATAAAAGTAAAACAAAAAAAAAAAAAAATTCAGTATAACCCTCTTTCATGCCTCACTTGAAAATAGCTTTGTCGCTCTTCAAATGGGTGAAGCATAAAAAAAAAACAAAAAAGTTTCATCAAGATATGTGAGAAGGGGGTGTTGAGTAACAGGGGAAGGGGACAAAAAAATATATATCACATTACTAACCATTCAGTTGGATAATTTGTCCTACAAAGATTCCTACCCCCCCACGAAAAAAATATAAATCTTTAAAACACCATTTAGGCAGATCCCACAATTGATCAATTTATGTATTCCCAATAGTTGCCTTTTTTTTTTTTTTTTTCCTGAACATGCGGGTCAAGGGGAAACAATTTAGCCAAGCGATTTTTCTTAGGGGTAATGGATTTTTTTTTTGTTTTTTTTTTTTTCATTTTTCTTTTTTCACGAAATTTGGGTAAGCTATTGTTAAAATTTTCTCTTTCTGTTTCTTTCTTTTTTTTGTCAGAAAGTGGAGATCCCCGTGTATGGGCGATTTTTTTGTGAGTACGTCCGACCGTGTGGATGTATACCTACGCGTATGTATATATGTATATACCTACGTATGTATGTACCCACGTTCGCATGTGCTTAAGTATATGCATACGCGCCATCGCGCAGTTCTCGCTTGGCTCGTAGGTGCGCTAATTCATACGGATACATACGCGCACGCTACCGTTCCCACATTCGGCTGTTCGCCCTTTCGTTTGTTCGACCATTCGTTTGTTTGGCCATTCGTCCCTTTGATCATTCGGTTGTTTGGCCATTCGTCTGTTTGACCATTCGTCTCTTTGACCATTCGTCTCTTTGACCATTCGTCTCTTTGACCATTCGTCTCTTTGACCATTCGTCTCTTTGACCATTCATCTCTTTGACTATTCGTCTGTTTGGCCATTGGTCTGCTTGACCATTCCTTCGTGTGCCCATTCGTTCGTTGGCCCGCTCAGGAGTTCGAACATCCACGCGCATTCGCAACCATAAAGTGGTGAGAAGTGCAAATTTTTTCGAAGCACACAATTTGATAACATTTAAGTGTATATGTTTGCTTTCTGTACTCAGCCCACCGTGCAGTTATCGTCCCACCCTACTTTTTTTTTTTTTTTTTTCCTTTTGGGATAACTCGTCTCATTTTTGTGCGTACCACTCTGCCTTACTTCTCCTGTTCATTTCATCATTTCAGCAACTCCGTTTAAGTAGGATCGAATTTTTTTTTGAGAGGGGAACGGAGTGGGTCGTCTTTCAAGTCTACCACCTGAGACATGCACGTACATGAGCCAGTGTGTGTATCGTCCCCCCGTTTGTTCCAGTCCAGCCTTTTCAGTTCGCCATCCATGAGCTGCTCCCGGCCTATTCGTATACCCCCTCCTGAGTGTTTTTCCCACATGTACATTCACATGCATCCGATTGTTGGTGTGCCCCATCCACGTCTGTAATCACGTGCATGTGCGTCTTTCCCTGGGGCTAACGCACCGCTACGCTACCCTACATCGCTAGGCTACGTAACACCCATGCACATCACAACGCTGCGCCAAAATGATAGACGTCGTCAGAATATTCAGCAAGGGAGGACTCATCCTCTGGTCCTACACCTTCTACGAAATAGACGACGTGACAATACGAACCATCGTGAAGCAAATACTTATAGAGGAGAAGTACGAGGACTTCTGCAAAAAGTACAATAAATTCCACGCCAAATGGAAACTGCTTAACGATGTCGATGTTGTTATCCTCATTGTTTATCAAGGGATACAGAATTCTGCTTATGTAGAGAATTTATTTTTAAGAATTAAAAAATCCTTTGTGAAGCTTTTGCCCAAAAGTTTGGACTACTTTGATGTGGACCTGCCCCTGAACTTCGACAAACAGTTTTTGAAAATCGTCGAGGACGTGGAGGCTAAAATGGCCTCCACGGGGGCGGGGGCGGACAGACGGGGAAGCGTGGACGGACGAAAGGGAAGCAAAGATGGGCGGAAAGGCAGCATAGGCGGACGACGAAACAGCGCAGACACGCGAACCAGCACCGATAAATCGAGGGATAATCATACGGACGCTAGCGAAGACACAGGTGCCAGCGAACGCACAGATGCAGACAGCTACTCAGACAACAGCGACGGAAATTATGACGAAACCAAAGGGAAGAGCAAACCTGGCGGACACAAAATGGAAGTACAGAAATACAGCAAGCAGAGAAGCGACGAGGATGACAAAACGCTGGAGGACGATGAACCGAGTGTAAAGCGAAAAAGTAAAACGAAGAAAAAAAGTGCAAGGGAATGGGAACTAAGCAAAAAGATAACCAAAAGGGACATCGAAAAATTGGATTACTCAAAAAATGAAAAGAACTCAACCGATGTACACGAAATGAATAAGTACCAAGGAGAGTTTGACGACTCAAGTGACTGCAATGTGGATAGTAATAATAATCTACTCAACAAATTAAATGATTCCATTTTGAAGGTCTTCTCGTACAATAGTAAGATAGAGGAAAATGACATTGAGGCAGTCTTACAAGGAGTTAAAAATAAGCTGCTCTCTAAAAATGTGGCAGTAGGAATATGTGACACGCTGATTGAGAAGATGAAGGGGAACCTAATTGGAAAGAAGAAAACCCTCTTCTCTATGAATGTCAAAAAAACAATTTCCACTGTTTTGTCCGAGACTATCCAATCCATATTGATACCAAAAGAATCGGTTGATGTCCTCCGAGCCGCCTTGGAAGCAAAATCGATTGGCAAATTATACTCAATTGTTTTCTTGGGTGTTAATGGAGTAGGGAAATCAACAAATTTAGCCAAAGTTTGCTATTATCTTAAGACGAAAGGGAATCTAAAAATTATGATCGCCGCGTGCGATACTTTTCGAGCCGGTGCCGTGGAACAGCTAAGAACCCATGCCAATTGCTTAGATGTTTTCCTTTACGAAAAAGGGTATGGAAAAGACGCAGCAGCTATTGCGAAGGAAGCCATTGCGTATGCAAAGAAAGAAAATTTCCATGTTATACTGATCGATACTGCTGGGAGAATGCAAGATAATGAGCCCCTCATGAGATCGTTAGGGAAACTTATTTTGATAAATAACCCTGATTTTATTTTATTTGTTGGCGAAGCATTAGTTGGTAATGATGCCATTGATCAGCTGAAGAAGTTCAACCAAGCGTTAACCGATGCTACGTGTAACGCTAACAAGAGGACCATCGATGGAATTCTCCTCACCAAATTTGACACCGTCGATGACAAAGTGGGCACGGCCCTTTCCATGGTATACCTCACGGGAAAGCCCATCGTCTTCGTCGGCATCGGTCAGAAGTACACCCACTTGAAGAAGTTCAACGTTAATATGGTCGTCAAGGCGTTGAGCTAGGCGGGGAGGCAAGCTGCGTAGCTAGTCACGTGGCAAGGTACGCGGTAAGCGGAGCGATGGACGACGCGTATTGGAGAGCATCCCCTCCTGGGGCATAACTGACCTCCTCACACACACAAACGGAAGGGCAAACCACGAAAGGGGCAATTTAGCAATTTATTCCAATGCACCTCTTATAAATGTTCAGGTCATTTTGCCGCTACACCAGTGAAGCCCTATTTGTAAGAAAGGGGGGGGCCCCTTAAGGAGGAGTCCCCTCCGTGATATTGTAATCAATTCGTCCAGGTGCTCAACCTATTCGTGATTACACGGACTTCCTTCCAGGAGAACCCTCCACGGACGGAATTTTCGTCCAATCGCTTCAAACCACGCGGAATACGCCTTTCCCTGCGGCCACGTGCCCATTTTTGTATATGTCTGCATATATTCCCATGTGCCCAAGTGCACGTAGCTATTTGCCTAAATAATTAAAAATGTTCATTCGGAAGTTTTCCTTCCCTTGTGTTGTTTTGCGATCACATTACTTTTATCTTCACTACTCTTTACCTCACCCCCCTTTTTTTTTTTTTTTTTTACCCTCTAACCTGGTGCACACAAAATGAGAAAAAAATGCCTACCGATAAATTATTTCATTTTTATGACGTGTCATTTTTTTTTTCTTTTCCGTCCACTGATGGGTGGATGCATTGGGTAGGAACACCACCTTGTAATAAGGAGTCATTAATTAAAACCGCATGGTGCCGCTCACGAGTCGCCATTTTGATGACTGGCTCAGTTCAGCAATGGCTTGAGTAAAAATAGCGTCCAAGGGGATGCATGTAGGGTGTGTGCTCATATGTGTTCCTCTTATGGGTATAAATGGCAGTGGCAGCACAAGCAGGGGAAAGCGCCTTTTACGTGAGGACGTACACATGGGAGAGTCCCCATAGGAACTTCCACATGGCTACCTTCGAGGAAAGGGGGGAGCACGCCCCCTACGCATAAATCCACGGCTTCGAGTGGTGACTCCACTGCACTAACTCGTCCGCCTTAAACCAAATGTTAATTTCCCGATTGGCCGACGCAACGGAATCACTACCGTGAATCACATTTCGGCTAACCTCCAGACAGAAATCACCCCTAATGGTGCCAGTGTTGCTATTCAGAGGGTTCGTTTCTCCAATGAGTTTCCTGCTTTGACTTACAATTTCGACTCCTTCCCAAACCATGGCAACGACGGGACCTTTACTTATGTACTCAACGAGGGTGTTAAAAAATGGCTTGTCAGCTAACTCCTTGTAATGCTCCTTAAGTATTTCTTTGGTCGGATTCAACATTTTTAATGCTATCATTTTGTATCCTTTTTTTTCGAAGCGCTCGATGATGGTCCCAACCAGTCCCCTCTGAACTCCATCCGGTTTCACCATGATAAAACTCTTTTCCATTTTGTCCGTCTCCACTGAGAAGGGTTTCTTCAATTGGATCACGCCTTCTTACTTCGTTGCTTTGTCACCTCGTCGAATCGTCGCTTCGTCACCTCGTTCCTTCGTCGAATCGTGTGCATTCACCAAAGAGGCGTGATGGCAGGGTGCTGCTCACCTTAGAGAGTGTTTCAGCTGGGGAGTAACTAAACCGCTTCTACCTGCGAGGGGGTTCAAAAAAGCTGCGATGAGAGACCTACAAAAAGCGACACGTAGTGGATAAGGTGGCCCCAAGAAAAAGCAGCTCAGGGGCTTACACTAACAGATACCGAAGAAGGAAGAAGAATCAGGATAGGGTCAAAAATAATATTTCCAAATTGAGCAATGACAAGCGTGCAAAATATTATGTCATATGAGAAATCGATGGAAAAGATGTAGAGAGAAAAAAAAAAAAATAAATAAACTCACTTGGTTTGTATTTAAAAAAATTGCACTAATATGAAGTTGTTCATCAATTTCGAGTCAGTACTTTTTGCCCAACTCCTCTCACAGAATCTTTACACTTTTCGCGCCTCTTTTTCTGGGGTCGATTTTTTTATCCACTTTCGCGGGACCTTATCGATACACTTTTTTTTCCCCCTCACAGTACAGCCCCGCCATGGTAGGGACCATGTTAGTTAATTTTTGTGAAAGATGATACGCCAAGGGGGGAAGTGTAACTGCCCATAACCAATCACATGCGGAGAGAATTGGGGAGATTCTTGGATCACACCCCATGGCTGCTCCACATCCTTTACTAGATGCGCAAAAAAAAGAAAGAAAATACACCCAATATTCGCATCCGCGGAAGTGTTTTCCCCAATTTTTTTTTCCTCAAGGGGCGACACCTTTGGCCTGCAAAAATTTCGCCATTTTCTTTTTCCATCAATTTGTCCTTTGCATAGAACGTATTCGGAGAATGGAAAAACAGAAGTGGGCCTCTTTTAATCCTACTTGTTGACTATATTTGTTTACCCCATTATTCTGCCTCATTTTCTGCCCCATTTTGCTCACAAACGGGAATTTATTCCTCCCCGTTTAGCAACATTCTCCATGCATCTACTTCGCATCTCCCTCCCCTGGGGAGCCACAGATGCTCAATGGGGCATGTGATACAATTGCCGGGAAAGTCCCTTCACTAATATTCCAACTGTTGAGGAGGAGATCTTCGTGAATATGAACGCACCGGTCTAGCCCCACATCTAAATGCAATTCCACCTTCTGCGCAGTTCAACTGACCCATTTCGCATCGTTCCGCATCACCGGCACTTCATTTTCCACACATCTTACCTATTTCGAACGAACTTACCTAAAAATGTGTGCGTGATGAGCAACACAATTAAGCTACTCTGTGATGGAGCCCATTCAAATGACCACATAGATGTAAGCGCAAAAAATTGAGAACATCTTCCTACGCGTAATAACGTTTTTCCATTATCCCCCTGTGGCGACTTTTTTTTTTTTGTCTATTTCTTCATTTAACAAAATCGGTTCAGAACCCACGTGGTAAACTACAGAAGTGAGAACCCTCGAAATGGCGAAAGATGCGAATCAAACCGTCAATCAAATTTGTGAAGGAAGATAGTGTCCCTTCTGCCAGCCATCCCAGGAGGATCTACCTTGAGGCGATTTTTTTCAAAATAGAAAAATAAAAAAAAAAGGCGGCGAACTGGCAAAAGAGCAGCCGCAAAATAGGGGTAAAAGGAATTGCTCGTCATAAGCTGCACAGAATAAATAAGAAGTAGGTAGTCCACCTTAACATGTCCCCCCACACGCTACTACCTATGCTCACCATACGTATCTGCGTACTCTAATCCAATGCATAAGAATAGTGCCGTTTTTCTTTTTCTTTCACTCACACAAAAAGGAGGAGTGTCACCTCTCTGGGGGGTTCAGAATAAGCACACATGGTCATCACCCTACTGCACAAATGTAGTATGTCCCTATTGGCGGATGGCAAGTAATACGGAGTGCGGGGTGGACTGCGCAGCGGGACGCGGGACCTATCTTTGCGCTACCGAAGTTAAGAGGTTAAAGTGGGGACAGTCCCCCGTGTGTACAGGTGCATATATGCGTTGGAATATCTGCGTGGGCGTACACGCGTTACATGTTTAGTGCGCACAGCTTAGCGCATCCACCTACCCAATGGCGCGAAGATAAGTGCATCTTACCTGGCCCCATGTAGGCATACAGAAATTTTATATATTAGTGACGCTCAAAGCGCGAATACCCGCACTTAGATGCATATGCGTGTAATCAGGCAGGCGCATTTTCTTACACTTATCGACCCCGTGGGCAGGGGGAACAATATATACACTGCGTACATGTGAATACGGAGGTGGCACATAAAGAAAAAAATATATATATACATATATATTTATATATTATACAACGAATGAATAAAAATGAACAGAAATGGAACAGAATGGTATAAAAATGAAAATAAAAATTGCCAACTTTGCACTAACGTTCCCACTTTACACAAACAAACACGTTACCTTATTTTTAATTTTTTATTTCTAACAATTTTTGGTTGATTACTTGTTTTTATCTTCACACCCGTCCGTTTCTTCATCCTGGCCATTTCGACTTTCTCTTCCTTTTTCCCATCATTTCGCAGATGCGTAAAATCAAAAGATACTTAGGACCTAATCGGGGGGAATAGAAATTACCACAGTCTAGGAATTGCTCATAAAGGGAAACTTAGGCTGGGGAGTTAGAAATTATCGTTACCGCAACGAAAAGGGGGGGGAAGGAAAGTATCGCGAAGAAATTGCGAACAGATAGCCCAAGATTAACAACTACCCCTCTGCGCTAAGCACCACAGGAATACAGAAACGAGCGGATAAACCCGTTTTAAGGTCATCTTTATTTATTTATTTTATTTCTTTTTTCTGTTTATTTTTTTTTCCAATTTCGTTACTTTTCCCAAATTGGGGGAATGTCAATAATTATACCTTCCGCAAAGGTTATACGATTCACGAAGATTCGTTCCCCGTCATTAAGTGGAGAACACCGTGATGTTTGCCGGAGCGCCTGGTGCAGAAGGCTAGCGAGCATCTGCCCCGAGTTCCTTCGAAGATTGGTTACCACGCCTAGTCACTACGCTTCCCAAGATGCTGGACATCTCCGATGAGCAGAGCAAGCTGCAAATAAAGTTCCTAAAGGCGCTTGACCTGTTCTGCATTTTTAAATTTATCATCACCAATGACGTAAAGATACACGAAAGGGAGACGTACGACCTGCTGAGAAGCATCCTGAACACGTATTCCCTCATCAGTATCAAAAATCCGTCTAGGGAAATATTTTCCGAAGCGGAAAAGATATACAAGAAATACTTTTGCAGCAATGGGGAAGAGACGAGTACATCTGCCTCTGCCGGTTGTGAAGCGGAACTGGTGCCAGACTCAGAGAAGGCTCAACGGAATGGCCCCACTGCCCTGAACAGCAACACATATAATGGGGTGAGCAGCGCACAGAAGGGGATGCACAACGCAGGGGAAATCTTCACGAATGACTCCCTCTTCTCGAAACACCTAAGTAACAAGCAAATATTTCAATTCTTTAAATTCCCTAAAAGCAAAAAAGTGGGGGACTATGTTAACAAGTGCTGCGTGGACGAACTCATAAACGAGCCATTAAATATAAATGTAGGTTTCGTCAAATTTGACAAGAAAAAAAGACGAAAAAAAAAAAGGAAGAAACCCAAAAAAGGGACAGTTAACATTCCTACAAATTTGTGTAAATATAGCAGCGACTCAGGGATACATAATTCTCGCCACAAAAACTCTTGTAGTTGTCTCGACCAATCAAAGGAAGACTATAAAATTTCTACAAAGTATTTTAAAAAAGTCGTCAATGAAGAGGACCTATCCGTTTCTGATTCGTCGGAACGATTTCCCAATTTGAGAAATTCATTTGTTAAAGTTCCTGCCACTAGTTACTTCGGCTTGAATAACTCCAACTGCTATATCTCGGAGGATGAATCCGATTATAACTACTACAGCGAGAATACCAATAGGGACGACGCGGAGAGGGAACCCCACAAGAACAGAAACGTCAAGCTGCGGAATCAGTACCTCTCGGTGAAGCTCTCCTTGTACAACTCGCGTCTGTGCAATAGCGGCGGGAAGGCGGACTCGGGGAGTGCAATGGAGAGTGGCCTCTCCAACGGGGACAGCGCCGTTAAGCTCGCGAATTACGCGAACTACCATGGCCACGCCAACAGAGAAAAAGGTGCAACTGCCGCAACTGCCTCTAACGGTGCAACCGCTTCAAACGGAGCAACCGCTTCAAACAGAGCAACCGCTTCTAACGGTGCAAACCACTTTTACGACGAGACCTCCATGTGCTTCAACCACTTCTACGAAATACACAACATCCTCAACCGAGACCCCAACGGGCTGCGAAAAATAAAAATTATGATAAAAAAGGACATCGGAACCATCAACATATCCCCCTTCTACGTAAACTTCGACTGCACCAGAATATTTAAAAAAGTCTGCAGAGCTTTTAACTTCACCAATTTTGATTACAAGAATCAAGGAGTCTACCAGATTATTAACTCCTGTTTCAGTACGGCAAAATCGAGGGAAATTTTAAAACACATTTTTCTAGACGACCTTTATGAGCAGCAAGAAATATTTGATAGCGAAGTGAATGGCAAAAAGAATGCCAGGAAAAAAAATCTGTTCAAGATGAGGAATAAAGAGCATGTTTTAGAAATGCTGGACGATGAGAAAAGGATTAACGTCTTGTATTTTATTAATCGCTTCTTATATTCGCAGAAAACGCCTCTCTCCAATTTGTTTACAAGTCAGTCCCTAGGAAGTGGCGGGAAACCCCTGGAGGACCAGGCCTTCGAGAGGTCAAGGCGGTCGAATGAGTGGGTCCAGCCGCTCCCACGGCAACAGCAGGAACAATCTCCATCACCGCAACAACAGGAACAGTTACCTCCACCGATGCAGGCGAGCCCCTTCTGCGCGCCCGACGACGACCCCCCCTTCGACGAACTCACCATCGATTACCTACTCTTCCTAATGGTCTTCGAAAAAAAAATTGACGAGAAGTTTCACAAATACCTGCTGCAGAAGATTGACTCGTGCAGGGACTACTTGTCAGCAGAGGGGCAAGATAAGACGGCCCTCGATGCCACCTACGTCTCCGCCGCCACCGCATCGTCGTCCGATTCGGAACCGGATCGAAGTGCCCCTCACCACAAGGTCCGGAAGATTGAATGTAGTTCCTTCCATCACCTCCATGGGCAAGTTGAGAAGAAGCAGGTGAGCGATACTGATTCATCCCATGTTACGCAAAATCGCCTTGAGGAGTTTAAACGTGAGGAAACTTCTTTTGGAAGAGTTGGAGGAAGCCGCATTGTTCATGATGGTCACCTTGTGGTAGGGGACAAAATGGAAGCCGCTTTACCATCGGGGGGGAGATACCCCTCATCCATCGTCAACAGGGAGTTAACTTCCATTGGCTCGTTTACGTCCCTCACGTCCGTCGCGACACAGGTGACCATAACGACGCAGGATAGTATCTCCACGCAGAGTGCCATCTCAACGAACGGTACCATCTGTCGGCAGGCCACCCCTGCGTCGGACAATGCCAACAGCCCCTGCCGCATGAGCAGTTGGGTGACTCCCCCCACACTCTGCAGCGCGAACAGCGTAACGTCAAGTGGGATTTCCCTGACCAATACACTCGCCACAAACGGGATCCAAGACGAAACCGTAATTGCTCCTCCCCCGAAGGTGGCATATATCCAATCCAAGTGGAACGAATGTCAAAAGGAAACGCAACTTGTAAAAAAAACGAATGAGCAGATAAGTGATTGCACGAAGAGCACCAAGAAGGATGACTACGAAGAAATGGAAAATGGGATAGAAAACGGGATAGAAAACGAGATAGAAGACGGGATCGAAGACGGGATCGAAGACGATGAACAGAATTATTACGAACAATTAAAAAACACAGATACTCCATCTGAAATAGAACCCAAATATAAGAGCAAAGCAAAATACAAATCGGAACTTCAAAACGAAATAACCCTCCTAAAAAGCATAAGACCCTTCCCAACAGTGTACTGGTTAATCAATAAAAACATGTGTGGTTATATTTCCCACTTGGAAAAAATGAATATAATAAAAAATATAGAATACTTCGTAAATTGCAAGAAGGAAGAATTCCGCCTGCTCAGATATTATCTCATCTGTGACCATCTCAAATACATAATCATTCGGTTGAGACATATCAACAAGAGGATCTTGCGGTTCTTTTACAACTTATTTCTAAATAGTCTTAATTTTAAGAAACAGTTCACCCCGGATGACTGCAACCATTGTATATCTTCCATTTATTCAAATTCTTTTGACTTCTCACCTCATATGTTAAGTGAATTCATACATTCCTATCAGATTGATTCTCAAGTTATTACCGAAATCCTTCGGAAGATCAACACACTACGGGTTAAAGGAATTGGAGGCATTTCAAACTTCTTAACCGTTAAATGTATACACCTTTATTTTGCTTCTCATTTGTCTTATCCGAATACCATTGGATATATTTTGGAGGAATTTTTCAAGTCCTAACTCTCCCCTCTGGCTTTTCCTCTGCTGCTTAGTTGCACCACCTCCCCACACGCATGCGTAGAGAACGTGTTGACTGCTCCTTCTGCTTCATCCTCTCCATGTGACAGTTACCCGTTCAGATAGGTACATACTCCCCCCTTGAAAGAATCTACCTGTGAGAAGGGTATTCCCTACCCCCCCAAAAAAAAGGGGACTTTCTATCCATCGGCTCATAATTACCGCTTCTCCATTTTTACACTCCATTTCGCTACACCTGAACCCATCCTGATTGCAAATCAAGCGTGCGCTTGAAACATAATGGGGCGGTACTTCTCCCACCTTGTTTGCTATCCGAAGGGAGCCATTCTGTGAGCTTTCCGCCCCACCCTCTCCATACGCTTCATCTTTCCCGCCTTCCGCTTCATGTTTGCGTTTTATTCTCCACGTGTCGATAGCACTGCGCGGTGCCCTCGGCGAGGTGCATCTTCCCCCTTCAACTCCCCAACATGGAAACAACTTTTTTTTGCGCCCCTTCTTCCTCGAAACATGCTTCCCTGGTAAGGGTGACGCCTAAGGAATGGGCCGGGAGCGGCTATCCCCCAAATTATAATACCTCTTCCTCATTGGCGCCCCAAAGCATGTCACAAAATGTGGCCTAGAAAAAAAAAGGTGCACATCATAGCAACATTTCACACACACTGCATGCTCGATTAAGGGAAAAGCCTCTCAAACGTGAAGCGACCTTCTTAAAGAAAATTAGGCTCGCTGGTGGTGTTCACTTTTTATGCCACAGTGTCTCAACCGTTGGCACAAAAAGCATAACCTGCCTCCCTGAGTGCATAATTTCCTCCCATTTTTTACTACCACCACGGCAAAGGGGCTAATTTTCTCCCCTTCGCCAAGCAGAGCAGGAACGAAAAATGGGGCTCCTCCATCATAAGACACTTCCTTAGGGAGAAGCCCATCTAAATCCTCCCCCAGTCTGCTCGCATAACGATCAAGGAACTTCCGAATGCGTTCGTCCATCCCATGATAATCGCATGTAACCAGTGAGGTATACCCCAAAAAAAAAGGCACGTAAAACATTTCTACACAATTATAGCGTAACCCCTTTTATGGTGCACATTTATGTGGTACTCAAATTTACAGCGAACGTTACCCAGCGTGGCAGTTCTTTGCCTTCAATCTTCTCCCCCGTTGCTGCACCTTTTTTACGAAAGAACAATATGCTTATGTATGTGCCTTGGTTAAAATTTAGGAAGTGGAGCTTCTCCGCTCTGCTTCCCCCTTTTTTATACCACCTGTGCATATTACAACGGTGCGAAAGGCAGCTCCAAGAATAATCGAGTGGCGGTTGACGAACAAGGCGTGCACAAGATGGAGACGCGTAAACATGCGCAAGGAAATATTATTGTGTTCCACGACGTGTTACAACACATCGGTGTTCCAATAATGTTTCCCTCTCCAGCGTGAGAATTTTTATCTTTATATGGAACGTGAAGCATGGTCGTTTCGCGAGGGGGTCCTCATTCCAGCACAACACGCAGACAAAACTGCGCCCCTTTCTTGTGCAAATATATGCAAAATTAAGTAACGTTCCGGGTGCGTGACCCGAGTCATGAGAGTATGTACCCGTGGCGAGACCCACTTCAATAAGACCCAGTATGCTCCCCCCAAAATTTACCACTTGGAAATGTTTATGAAGGGATACACAAAAAAAAAAAAATTACCAGGAACAAATACACTTGCTCCTCAGCAGTGTCCCCTGCCCCTTCCGCGGCTTCGGAGGGGCTCCTTTCCCCCTCCAACTTCTATTTACATAAGCCCCTTTCTGCACCATTCTGTTTTCACCATTTTGATACGCTTGAAGATGCAACACGCGCGTGTCAAAATGTCATTTGAAAGTATTCCCAGTGAAGGCTTCTTAAAGGTGGAATAATTTTTTCTTTTATTCTGATTCTTTTTTATTTGCCTCATTTTTTCGTTCGTTTTTTCCCCTGCTTTCTTTTGGTGCCCTCCCTTTTTTTTTTTTTTTTTTTTCCTTACCCCTGTTCCCCCAGCCATATATGCCCAAATGTACATTTTATCATGTACTAATTTTGTAAGTCGCATGAGGGGTATATATTTTTTTTTTCAAGCCATCCTGGCACGCCACGCCCTAAGCACAAATTGGCTGTGCCACGTACATAACACCTGGGCGCACGTCGTATGGAAGTGTTAAGGTATGCATTGTACGTACGTAGGCATATTGTTCCGTGTCGTATTGTATACGTTGCATATGCCAGTCGCAAAAGGAAACGAGATCCTTTCCTTCCAAGCGGAACTTTTGCGTAGCTCTACAAAACGGCATAGCCTTTGCAAAACTTCTCATACCACTGCGACAGCTTTATATTCTCACTGACTTTCGCTTTCCACTTTGGCATTTTTTCCTACCCCCTTTATATACTTCCCTGTTTTACTTGCCACACGTAAATTTCGCCAACGTTTTTACAAAGTAGTACTCTTTCATCCTTCACCTTTCACCCTTCACCCACATTTTGTGACCATTTTGTGACCATTTAGTTTTTTTTTTTTTTTTTTCAAATTTCCTAGCATGTACCAACTCCACGCATTCGCGATACGTGAAAAACACAATATTTTTAACTGAACAGAATTAACTCAGCAAAATGAGCCTCTGAATGACTGGCCCCAATTCTACATATTGGGGAAAGCGGCCGTTCAGCGTTTTTCTCCGTGGAGCTGTGGCACAGTCACAGGAATGAGTTAACCCCAGAGGAACAAAGGAAGGAGGGTGCAACACTGACGATTGGGTCCCTCGGTTAAACGCTTCTCGAAGGAAGGAAAAACAAAAAATAAGAAACAGAAAAAAAAAAAATAGAAAAGCTCAACGAGGCATCTTTTTTTTTACCATTTCCTTCTAGCATCCCATCCCTTTTTAATCTTTCCAGGAGTGCCTCCTTTTGTTCATACATTTCTACATTCGTTAGTGTACATTTTACTTATCACACCGTCACTCACCCCCCCCTCTATTGCTCCATCCTGTGGGTATGTTTGTACCTCCTCCTATAAGCTTCCCCCCTCGACGCAAACCTTTACCGATGTAGATGAACGGACATATATATACTTTCTCTGTATGTGACGAGGCAAGGGGGGTGGGGGTACACGTAAGTCACTCCTTTTCTAACTCCCCTTAGTGAACACCACCATTTTACATATGGGAATTTGCCCCACATCAGCGCATCTGCAAACGTATCCACGCGTAAAAGCGGAAAGAGGCGCACATAGTTGCAGGAGTCGGGAGAAAGCACTCCCGCTGTTCTTTCACGCGCCCACCCCTCCCCTTTAACACGATTGCTACCATCCGATCGAAAAATGTACCAGAGCAAGGAAAAGAAGGAACAGGAGGAGGAAGGGAAACGAGGCGTGGGTATAAAAAACCCATCGAGCCAAAGGAACAGAAAGTATGGAAGAAATGCAAAAGCTCCCGCACCATTATATAACAACAGATATATTAACAAATTTCAGAAACGAAATAATGACCTTCGGACAAAAAGAGGGAACCATGGAATGATGAGCTTTGGAAATTTGTCTCTTTATAGTAACCACCAGCATATGAAGGCAGAAAATATAAAAGCCAATCCATTATATGCGAATAAAACTCTCATCAGTAGGAGTATCAAGGAAAACACAAGAACGACACTTTACAAAAAAAATTACTTCGCACAAGATAACATTAACTATAACACTTTCATAAATTCACAAACACCTGTCTGTTCATTTCATATAGAAAAAACAGAAGAGGACATAAAAAATCAAAACAAATTTAACGAGACTGTGTACAGAAGTAACGACAAAAATGTCTTCAGCGAAGTGACGAACTCTGAGTTCCCTTCATTCGTTGAGGAAGTCAATTTCACAAACCATCTAGTTCAGTTATCTGCCATTCTTGTACTCTCCAATAACGATAAGATTTTTAACAACTTAGAGTTTGAGGGGAGGACCATCCCTTCTCCTAATGATTGCAATTTGTGCATCTACGTGAACGTAATAAATAAGTACACCTCTCAGTATTACAAGCAGCTTTATCCTGTGTCGTATAATTTTAAAAATCGCCTTCTGTTTGCTACTCCAAGTAGCTCCTCTGTTGTCGATTCATCTCTCCTGGTGGATAAAATAATCATCAAGGGGAACTTCAAGACCCTTTCTCTCATCGTGTTGGGACAGCCAGAGGAGATAACCGACGCGTTGATGTAAGTGCAGCAAGGGGAAAGGGGTCACCTCGATGGTGGCAACTTTTTGCTCGTCCTCACCATTAACGCGGACACCTTGCACACAGCCGATTTCGCAACAACAAATTTATATGCCATCCATTACACAACACCCATTTACAGATCCTACCGAGAAAATCTCCTGGACGCTAACCTGAGGAGCAGGATCGGCGAAGATACACTCGACGTTGAAAACGTAGACCTGGAGAAGGACCACTTGTATGTCCCCAGGAGATCCGTCGATATCAAGACGTATAACATCACCACCCTGATTGATGAGAAGCTCATTTCGAAGCAATCCAGCCAGGGAAATTATTTCGACAAAATTGATTGCTCCCTCGGGGGTACGCAGCATGAGGAGGGCGAACCCAGCAAACTCGGCCGAATTGGTGAAATGGGCCAACCTGGAGAACCGCATCACCCGCAGCAGCTGGTCCAACTGAGGCACCTGTCTGACCTCCTAGAGGAACAGTTCCTAAAAAATAATGCTGACCAGATTGGAAACTCAAATTGTGAAGATACCGCTAAAGAGGAAGAAAATGATGTCGACCATAATAACCCCCTCGAGGAAAAGCAGATAAATGGAGAAAACGTCAAAGAACCACCAACAAAACGATCGAATGAACACACCAGTGATGTCATTGACATGAGCGCAGCGGAAAGTGAAACAACTTACACCAAGAAAGATAGCATGCCATGCTTCATCCCACCGGACAATGAACTTATAATAAAGATACTAAACGAGTTTACTGAACTGTATAAAATGAGAAAACACATTTCCAAGGACAATTCGATAATCTATAGGAAAATTATTAAATACGGAATGATGTGGCTCTTCTACATTTTCCATCAGATAAAAAAAGATCAGGAAAACTTTCTTTTTAACTATGCAAAGTACACCGAAATTAAGACGTACGATATATTAGGGTGTTTGTTATTACTTAGGAGATGTGCACTTTATTCCGAGCTAGCTAGAGACCTAATACATATGAATTTCAATTCTCACATGATTTATATGGACCCCCAATGCCCCCATGTTTTGATCAATTTAGTCGACATGCTCAGTGTTAATAACGTTTACTTCTTTTCGTCGTGGAAAATTAAAACGTCCATCTTAAAATCGCTCATCGCGCTCATATCAGATGCCTACGTCATGAATCACTTCTGCACCTATGTAAGTTGAAAAAAAAGAAAAGAAAGAAAAAGAAAAGAGAATAAGAAACGTAAAATAAAGTAAAACAAAATATAGAAAAAAAACGGACAGATGCGCATGTACTTCGGGAGATACGTCCGGCTGGACCCCAACCCTTCTGCGCGTTCCCCCCCTGAGCGTACATTCGTATGTATACGCCATGTAGACAAGCGGGCTCGTTTGTTTATATTTGCATCCCATTGTGTTGTGCTCCACAAACATTTCTATCTGGTGCAGCCATGTGGAAGATCGCCTTGCGCGTTTTCCCACCCTTCTTATGTATTTTTTGTAAGCACAGAGGAGGCCGTTTTTTTTTTTTTTATGTAAACGTTTGTCACCCCCGCTGTGAAATAATCGTGACATTTGTGTGTATGCTCTCCCACGTAGAGTATTTTCTTAGGGCGGTTTACCCAAGTGTTCTGGTTGCCCTTGGCGTCGTAGGAGTTTTCGGCGGTTCTGTTGATTAGTCCGCTGTCCGCTTGACACATTTTTTTTTTCTTTTTTTTGTTTCATTTTTTGTGTTTCATTTTCTTCTTGACGCCTTTCGTGAGGCGAACAATAGGATGCAAGTCGCCACCCCCCCATTTAGCCCCCATTACATAGTATTTTTTCCCCTGCATACAACGACGAAATGATATACGTGTCCAACGCATTTTAAATGCCTCATTTGTTTTCCGTTTTTCCGTGCCCATCTCAACTGGGCACTTGCCTTTCTGCACCAGCATTCTGCACACTCAGTTGTCTCTGTCGCGCCACCCCCGGCGCACATCGGCGCGGGTTCATTTGTTTGCTACGTAAAGCACGCTGTGCCATTTCGTGAAATTGTCTTTTTTTTCATCCATCTGGGAACAACACCCCGAGAAGGGGAGATGAAGCCAATTTGAAAAATTCCTCCCCAATTGCACCTCCATGCGAGTGTGCATATATATTAAGCTACACACTGGAGGGTTGTACGTGCGCATATGGCCACCCTCGCGGGTACCGAGAAACTGCTTTGCAACTCTACAATTTTGTTTTATCTTTTTTGGGGGGAACAGCAATTGGATGGAGTGCGACATGGCGCGGCCCGAATACACATTTGCCCTCGATGAGTGAACCGTGTGTATGTGGTATGTGCGACCCCGCCTGTCTAGTCAGCACCGCAGGGAAATCTAACAGCAAATGATAACGCTTATCATTTTGTTACTCATTTTTTTTGTTTTATCTTTTTTTTTTCTTTTTTTTTTCCTCGCTGCAGGTGGACGAGGATGGAGAAACACCCTACCAGAAATTGCTCAAGGTGTCCTCAAGCACCAAAATGAAGAGGTAAGCCCAGCCATCCTCCTAGCCCCACGCGTAGTCCCGTGGGTCTTTCTGTTTTCCCTAGCAGCAGCTACCCGCTCGCGTGATTTCTCCTGCACGTCGTTGTGTTCCCTCATTTTTTACGTATCTCACTAAGAACCAAGTATTCCACATGTGCCCCTTCCCCATTTACCATCCCCACCGTAGGTACAACGCGAAGAGGCTTCTCGGAATCATCCTCTGCAGAGTGAAACTGTACCAGCACATCAGCAGCTTCGAAAGAACCGTCATGCACATCGTCGTGAAGAGGAGGAGCTATGACAAGAAGCTGTTTAGCCAAACCATCACGTCCAAGCTGATGTGCGAGTTGAAGAATGTTCACAAAGAATTATTTCAACACAGCTGTAGGCCAGAGAGTAAAAACAGTTGCTACGACGAACCCTACGAGGAGGAAATTTTTATTTTAGATGAAAAAAAAAAAAAAAAAAAAATTATTACCTACACAAATTACATCATTATGTCATTTCATACTTAAAGCGAAATAAATTTTTCATTCTTTTTCTGTACATTTTAAAAGAATTTGAAATTTATTTAAAAGGCTCCCTCTTTTTAAATTCGTATGACATTGCTTTTGTAACGGCTGTGAACGACTTTCTGTTTTATTTCCTGAACTGTTCAGGTGGAATTAATTTGTTACTAAATTACAATTTCCCCATTTTCGAGAAATTGTACAAAAGCATATGTCTACTTATAAATAAAAAAATGAAAGACCTCAATGGAAAGGTAAACGACTTGATGACAGGCCAAGAGGATGGCCCAGGCACTGACCAAATGATCGATTCCAGCAGAAGCAAAGGCTCGGACACTACTGAGCTTTCAAACGTGGGGGCCAAAATTCAACTCTTTAAAACAAAGTCAAATGAAGCTGCATCAAATTTGTATGACAGCCCGAGTGAAGTGAAGGGTGGCTGCACGGAGAAGGCCACTGAAAAAAATGACCCATCCTGCCACGAATTTCAGGACCCCTATGATGAATGTGGTCAAGTCATTGGGACCAAGCCCCTACCGGAGGGGGATGACACAACCGACACGGGGGACGTAGTCCCTAGGGGCAACATTGACAGTGCGCGCCCCGCAGTAGGAGCAGCACGAGGGAACCTTGCCCCAGCCAACTCCTCTTACGAAAGGGATGACCCGAACGCAAGCGCGGAAAATCTGAAGCATCATTTCATATTCAGCGAGAAGAACTTCTTCTATGACAACTCCAAGTGCATCTACACCTACAACGATGTCCTGAGGAACAGGGACCTTTCAGACGATCAGTATATGGATGGGTTTAACTACAAAGACATGAAGAATGTCAGAAATTACTGCTCATACATATTATGCGCCTTGAAGACCTTTTTCAAGACGAACCTCCTAATCGAACTCTTCTTCAATTCTGGAGGTAACATATCTTTGGAACATTTAAAATTTTTTAACGTCCTAAGTTCGTATCCTCTGTCAAAACTGGCCCTCTTCAACAATGACAACTTTTATTACTTCTTCCTGCATCTCATTCATTTGTTGTATTACTTTATCTACTTGGAAAAGTTGTACGAAGAAGGACTTCCCAGTGAGGGGCCAGCAGCTAACAAGTCCAATTGTACGAATCTGGGCCAAAAAGACGAAAGAAGAGAAGGCCCAGAGAAGGACACGGAGCGCAAACCCAAGCAGGCACAATCATCCCCAATAGACACATTAACAGATATGGATAAAACACACCAACTGAACAACTCTCATGTGAGTAGCAACACCAACGAGTGCATCCTAGTCACGATTAGATACCTCCTCGGAATTATTTACAACTTAATTTTTTATGACGAATCGGGGCATTATGTCTACCACCTCGGCTACTCCATATATGTGTGCCTGGAAGAAATCAAGAACATCACTGGGGAGGTGAAAAAGAACAAAGACTACTCCTTTGGTAACCTGAATAATACTTTTCCGAACAGAATTCTACTGAAAAATTATCTAAGTAACGACAAGCTGTTTTATAATAACTACTTCTACCTGTATGACAATCTGAAGGGATTGTACTCCGAGCTTTATCGCTATGAGAAGAAGAAGTTCAACGAAATGTCCCCGGGGAGGAAGAAGGAGCTCTACGAAGGTAGGCTCCTCAACGTGCTTAGTAATGCCACTGGGGAGGAAGCAGCGAATCGGGGCCACAACACACAGCAGTCCGCTAACGAAAAGCAGGCCCCGAGCACACAGGTGACCGGCCCGAGCGCCCCTGCGCCAAGCCTGGTCAACCAAATCAAGCAGCGCATACAGAAAAAGGAAAAAATGTACCTGGACTTACCACCCCTAAAGTCGACCTTCACACCAAGTGTCACAAAAATAATTGAAATCTGCAAAGTAGAAAAGGACAGCAAGTACGCACTGAAGAAATCAAAGGAATTAAACAATTACAACTGCAAGCTGAATAACGACATATATATAAACAACTCCTCGAAAAACTGCTCTCGCCTGGGTAGTGGCAGCAGCACAAATCACCAATACGTAGAATTGTTAGAAGAACTGGATGATACCCCCTCAGAGAGTTACCCCCCAAATAGGAAAGTCGACACTACCACGTATCCCTTTCTCCCGCTCAACCTGCTCTATTACTACATGAATTTGTGCCCAAATGTGAACTTCTTTTCCAAGCTGTATGATGAAAATGGGCTCAGAGAAAAGGGCGCAGTGGAGGAGGAAGAAGATGATAAGTACAAGATGCAAGAAGAGGGGGACATTTTTTACCTCAACAGGCAAGGTGTTCTCCACGGGGATGACGTGCACCACACAAATTACATATTCGTGAAAAATGATAAAATTGATGAGACAAACAAGCCGATACGGGGAGAGACCACCAAGGAGAGGAAAACACATAACCACAGCATTGATAATTACATCGGTAACAACAAGAGCAACCTGCTCAGTGGTGGCAGTCAGCAGGAAGAGGGGCCCTTCTTGGCCAACGCCAATTACATAAGCAAGCACGAACACGGGGATTTTAAAAACATAGGAACGATACTCTACGTGGAAAATAACCTTCAGTTCATAATCAAATTGATAACAAAGTGTATCTTCTACCTAAATGGAAACACATTCAAATTGTCTCTCCTCAATTTTAACAAAATGAGCGGCAGAATACTCTACAAAATATTAAAAAATCGACGAAAAACACTCTTTCTAGTAAAATCCATCCTGAACATCCTTTTAAACTTTTTTTACAACTTAACGAGTAATGCTAATTCTATTTCTTTAAAGTCGTATAGAAATAGCGAGTTGTTTTATTCTCTCCTTTTTCTGCTGAACAAGTTACTGAGCTTTAGCGACTGGTTGGGATCCAACAACACATCGGAGTGTAATCATCATTCGTCTGTTTTCCTCCTAAGATATAACATCATTTATTTGCTTCGCATTTTTTCCTTATGGTTTAATAAGACAACTGACAATCAGTCTTTCCTCTTTCGCTGCGTTTTGAAGTATACAAGAATTCTCCCTTCCTTTAGTACCTCTGGCATGCTCCTCATTCTGACGTTTTTCGATTTGAAGAATATTTTTCCAGATTACATTTACTCCTTTTTCCTTGCCAAGAATTTGAAGGGCATTTGCTACGACGCCGAGAAGGCTAATTCCTCTTTGGAGGAACTCTTCAAACAGCAACAGTGTCTAATGCAACAGAGGGGAGATCCCCAGGGGGAGGACATGCAGATGGAAGACTCGGACTGGGAGGAAGTAACCGAGGTGGAAGAATCGGAGGAGGAATGCGAAGAGGATGAGGTGGATAAAGCGAAGCAGGAGTACGAAGTTGACGTGGTGGGAGAAGCCGACACAGCAGCAGCAGCGGAGGAAGAAGAACACCCCACAAGGGGAAGCAAACAAAGGAAAAGCAAACGAACCGCAAACAGGGTTATCGGCAGAAAGGGGAAGAAAAACAAAAATGACGGACATGAAACGGAGGTGCCTAGCCAACTTGATGGGGAACCCAACCTAAAAGGGGATGCATCCAAAGGGGACGCATCCATAGGGGACTCACCCAAGGGGAACCCACCAAATGGTGATAGCCCCAATGAAGAGGTACAGGACCATGAGGCGAATGAGGAGGGAGCCCACTCGGAAAGTCTGCAAGGAAGCAAAATCCCTCAAACAGGGGGAAACAAACACGAGCTCGCTAAAAATCAGGACGAGTTCCCGAGCCATGCGAAATATTGTACCTCTCCGTATGACAAATGGGCCGTGTGCAGGAAGAACCGCAAAACGTTTGATCGTTACGCGCTTGAGCTGGACCGCCCCTGCGATACCTTCTTGAGCGATGTGGAGGAAGATAGGAAGAAGGAAGAACAAGATGGAGTGGCTACCCACGACGGAGAACCGGAGTATTACAACGCAGACCCCCTCCATGAGGATAGCCTAAGCAGAGTTAGACCGGTAGGTGGGACAAACTATCGTGGGAAATTCAACACGGAAGGAAATGAAACCTCAAATGAGGAGGCACACGAAAAATTGAATGAAGAATTGTACATTGAAAACATGGGCGAGCCCGACGCCGAAGACAACCAAGGCAGGAGCTTAGAAAGAGTCGTTATGTACTGCAAGCTGGATGATGCATTTCAAGAAAATGAAGACAAAAGGCTATACCTTTGTTGCGACATAAATGTGATGAAGCGAATTTTAAATGAACAGCTGTGCGACCAATTCCGAGTGCTCAATTTAGCTCACTCGACGGATGATCATGAAGAAATGATAGAAGCCAATGGAAAAAACAACAAACAGATGTTTGGTTACCATAACAGGTCATTGATTGGCAATCTATCACTCAACCTTAGCGATGTAGAGGATGAAACTAGTAAAGAAAATAAGAATCAGGGCGGTTCAAGCAGCCCCAGCAATTTTAACATACTGAATGATGATAGCTTGGCGAAGAATTATATTGGGAATAACTCTAAGGGAATCTCCTTCCTATCGACACGAAAATTCCTTTGCAGGAAAGGGAAGAGACAGCCATTAAATCCGTACAGTGGCAAAGGTGTAAACCTTGGCGGAGGGGGAGGCATCTCCTTTTTGTCCCCAGAATTTAAGGACCAGTTCAGTGAGGAGGATGACCAATGCCTTCAAAGCAGTTTCGCCTTTCATAATTTTAAATACACAACGGGGGGAATAACCAGCGAGGAGGGACATAATAGTGACGATCATGGTGCTTCCAACGATGACGACTTCTATCACCCAAGTTTTGACCGAACCGATGAGAAGTCGAGTAAACAGCCCCTTTGGGGAGAGGACTACTACTCCTCAAAGCTCAGGTTGGAAGCGAAGCAAAGGTTGAAAGTGATAAGGAAAAAAACCGCTGGTGTATTATCGCCAAACAAAACCACCTCCATCCGCGTGATGTGCCCGTATGCAATTAAAAATTTTGTAAACGACAGCGAGGAAAATTGTGCGGAACACATCCTAAAACAGATCAGGCAAAATGAGCACCTCGAAGAGCAGCACATCAACCTGAACAGGTTAAGTCAAGTGGAAAGGGAAAAAATATATCTAATAAAAAGGGAATTGAAAATAAGAGAGTACACCAATTTGGAAGATCTGTGTGATTACATAAATTTCATCGTAAGAATAAGCAAAACGAACAACGTAATTGGTCGCGCTTTGAGCACGTACTGTTGTGTTCTGCTTCATAATCACAGAATCCCGATTTTTTCGATCCTCTTCAATCACATATATAGCATTATGAACCAGTTGAAGAAGATAAACATGTATAACACTAATAGTAACGATGACGAGACAAGCATATGCATGAACAAAATAAACTTCTACTCATTCTATTCCTACAACAGCACCCAACTGAGTAACATTCTGTACACTTACAATAAGGAGATTTACCTCTTAAAGGAGCTGTCTAACTTTTTCTCCCTCCTCTGTGAAATTTTTCACATGTGCTTCTTTAACAGCTATAAAAATAATTACAATAGGTTAATAAGACTCATTTACTTACCATCGAAGAAGCTGCTTGATATTCTATACGATTTGATAAGCAACTTGAATGATGTTTTTCCACAGGAGCTCATTCGATATGTCGTCAAACTGTCCGCCACGATTTTCCGAGGCTATGCTTATGTCCTCTTCGTCTTCTTTAACAAGCAAGCCATTTTGCACAGTCAAAGAAACCCCCTCGTTGTGGCCTCTCCATGTGAAAGACCAAATGGATGCCCACAATTGCAGTCACAGGAGTGCCTCTTCATACAGAAGATCCGAAACCCCGCAGAGCAGTTCACCTTGTGTCAAGACAAGCAAAAGGACAATGAGATCACAAGTACCAACACCGGCTTCTTCCCCAATCAGAAAGTCCTCCTTTCTTGCCCTAACTACGTAAAGTATATCAAATTCTTTGTGCAATACTATGCCGAATTAATAAACACGAAAAATATGATCGATGATGAGAACAAAAAGAAAGTGCTCTACAAATATGCTCATTACGTCGATCTGAAAACGGTACATCTGTGCTTAATAAATATTTACGAAATTGTGAAGAATCGAGTGTTCTTTTTTTTCTCCTTCTTCAAAGTTCAGAGGGGGCTAGCCAACTTATTCTTTAGATACGTACACAGGTGTAAAAGTACGAAGGAAGGCTCTCCACTCCTGTTTAGCAGAGATTATTGGGCGACCACACAAATGGGGGACGCGAAAACAGCCCAGCTGCTTCTCACACCGACACCCTGTGAAGAAACTGAAATGGCCTTCATTCACCTGTTCGATTTCTACCTAAAACCAAACAGACATATAAACCTTTCCTACCTCCTCGACTTCTTCTCCTGCTTGTGCAATGTCATCCAAGACATGAATTACAAAATTATTGAGCTTTATCAATACATAAATGTCATAGATATGATAATAAGTATAATTTTCCAGATTGTTCATTACAACTTTAATTCGCTCTTCATTCTCCACCACTTGGTCTCCCCCGATGCATCAGAAGTCACTCGGCACGTAAACAAGATGCTTCGGATTCACCGAACCGAGCGACTTCGCCAAACAGGAGAAGCCTACCATTCAGCGCAGAGCAATTCCACCAATACTGAATTTAAAGATAAAAACTCAATCAAAATAAACACATTTGAAAAAAAAAAAAAAAAGACAATGCTCCTACCCAATGTGGATGACTTCAAGAGGAACTTCCTATCCGGTCTGCTCAACAGTTTGGAATATCTCCATCGCTATATGAACAAAAAGCTGCATGATCAAGTGGAGCAAGTGAACCCATATAATGATCCCAGTGGAGACAACTTTCAAAGAGGAAATAGAGACGACTGTAATGATGAGCCCACAAAAACCACCGACACGGATGCGATGAAGCTGGATGGAAAAGCGGAACGAGACGAATCTGCCACTGAATCCACCTGTATGAATAGAAACAAACCGAAAGGTGCCATCGGAACAAGCGATGCAGAACCCCCCTTGCACCTCCTTTCAGTTTCCGTTTTAAATCTCATCCGCAAGGTCAAGTCGGTAAAAGAACGAGTCCTTACTTTGAATGAATGCTTCGTGCCCACGATCACGTTTAAGACCTTTCTCCTTTTCGTTTGCTACGAGATGAGTGAGTTGAAGAATATTTATCGAGCCCAAACTGCAAAGAGAAGCTTCTCAGGGGGGCAGGTACCCGGGGGGGAAGCTAACCAGAAGAGGAGACGATGCACCAGGAGCGACGATGGGGTAGATGCGGAAGTAAATAACCATGCTGATGTAGATAACGATGCGGATGTAGGTAACGATGCTGACGTAGATAACGATGCGAATGTAGATAACGATGCTGAGCTCGGGGAGGATATTCGCAGTGGCGAGGAGGATGAACAATCGGGTGCCGCCAAGGACAGCAAGACCAGTGAGGAACGATCGGCGAAGAGTCACCCTGCGAAAAACAATGATCTTGCCGCGTCTGACCCCGCCGCCACCCACACGAAGGATTGCGCCTCCCTGTGCTACTCCATCTTCAACGACGCCAACGTGACGATAAACAGCCAATTCCTCTTCAAAAAGCTGAGCGACGTTTTTTACGCCCAAAACGTTCTTAACAAAGTTACCAAATCGTTTGAGTCCCACCAACACATAGACGACAACTACCTCATCACGGTGAAGAACATGAATGCGAGCATCTGCATCCCCTCCCTAAACAAAAAATTGTATGACCACTGTTCACACCTCTTTGCTGACATCCAGTCCAGAATATATCTAAATGAAAACGACCAGGACAGAAACAGCTTCACCCTCTTTAACTTATCACAGGAAAGTAAGTCCAAAGAAATAGACGAGCAACATGCACTGTACAATTACATAACCCTACTGAAAGAAGAAAAGAACAAATTGCAGAAGAAAAAAATGGATGCCAAAAATGTACAGGCTGCTCAGACCAAAGGGGGAAAACTCTATAAGAGGAGTGAAAAAAACACCTTTGAGGACCACTTTAGGAATCGAAAAACTGTGTCCTCTCGGGCCCCCTCCAAGCACGTGGATGATTACGAAGCTGCTAATGCTACCAATGCTACCAGTGCTACCAATGCCACCACTAATGCATCTCCAAATGAAGGCAACGGTAACCTAAGCGGAAAGGAAAACGAAAAAGAGAATCAAAACGAAAATGTGCAAGCCGTTAGAGAAAATAACGACATTTCCCTTGAGGGCACCATCAAAGGAGATATCATAACTGGGCCAAAAGGGGGATCCAAAAATGCAGCCACAAAAAATATGCACACACAGGATAAAAATAAAGTGAGCAAAACTGCCAACCGCGTCTACAAAACGAGCAACATGAACAACACGACCAGCATCGGGTTTGACGGCATTGTTAATGACGTCATCGGAAACGACATCGACGGGGTGCCAAGCAGCGGAAACATGGTGAAGAATGATATTTATAGTACTAAACCTGGGGAGAGAACCAACAAAAGGAACAACGAGAAGGCCTCCGGCAGAAGGCGCGCCGATGGTTATGCATCGGGCGGTGCTAGGGGCGAATATCAACAAGAGGTAAACTATGACTCCAACTATGATGAGAACCACGACTTGAATGGAAACCCCAACTATGACGCAAGTTACGACACCCAATACGACCCAACCTTCGAGCCAAACCAGGACCACCGTCTTGACTACGACCAGTACGACCCACGAGATCATCTGAGCAGCCACGGCTACGACATGGACGGAGAAGAAAACAATCCATACGATCCCCTGAATAATTATTCCAATGAAGATAACTTAGTAATGAATGCGTCCAACCGACCAAGTCACCATCCTAACGACCTCTATGACAGGGATCACGCCCTCTACAGTTATAAGAATAAAAATGACCTAAATAAAGACGGCATGGAGAACAATCTAAAGGCGAATGACTACCACGTAACTTTGCAACATGATGAAAAATTTGACGTAGCATATGGAGGTCAATTTTCAAACCATACAGAAAGTAAAAGCAGTGGTGTTGCCAAAGTGAGTAGCGACATGGCTAGTAAGATCACCCTCGAGCAGGATACCCAAAACGGGGAAGCCAGTAAAGTGCCCAATAAAAACTCTCAGTTCGAAGACTGCACCTGCTACAAATTCAATTTAGTTGGATGGAAAGAATTTTCAGAGGATGGACATAAAAACGATTTAGACGTTTGTAAAATTGTGAACAAGCCCGTTTTGCTCAGGGACCCCAGAATTAAAATGAAATTTCTTAAAATTCTCGACAGACATAAAAATATAAAAGATATATTTAAAAAGCTCGGCGTTGACATAAAGTGAATTCGTTATGGGAAGAAGTGTCTCAGGGGAGTGGCACCTCAGGGGAGGGGAACCCCTTTATCGCAACCTGGACGTGGCGCACCCACACCCCTTATCAACATGCAGCGCTCCGTTTCTTGGCCAGGGCAAAAAAGGAAGATTCCTATATATCACGAGCCCTCCCAACTCGTGGCGCAGCCAGACCCTTCCCATTGTTAAGACACAATTTTGTCATTCACCCGATGAGGGGGTCTCCGAATTTGATCATCCTACAGAAAGCGCACGGCACATCGAATCGCTAATTAATTTACGTCACTCTTCACTTCAGCAATGGGGGGTAGATGAACCTTCCCATGTCTCTGTCCAGATACTGTTAAACCTTTCACTTCGCATAGCAGTTTACACCCTATTTCGTTTTAGTCTATGTTTTCCTCACCCTATTTCGTTTTAGTCTATGTTTTCCTCACCCTATTTCGTTTTAGTCTATGTTTTCCTCACCCTATTTCGTTTTAGTCTATGTTTTCCTCACCCTATTTCGTTTTAGTCTATGTTTTCCTCACCCTATTTCGTTTTAGTCTATGTTTTCCTCACCCTATTTCGTTTTAGTCTATGTTTTCCTCACCCCATTTCGTCCTAGTTTATGTTTTCCTCACCCCATTTCACTTTTTCTTACCCCATTTTCCTCTCTTCCCCCCTGTAGGGGACTCTCTAAACCACTTCGTGCAGACTTTGACCCCCTTTCCTTCTGTGTGGTCACTTCCGCCACTTCAAATGTTTCGTGTTCATTTCATCGTTAGGCTTTAACAATCTCCACACCTGTGGTTTCAATAAATGCAATTTTGTCTCATGTTGCTTTAAAACACTAGGACCCCGCCTCCGGTCCGTATATCTTAATTTGGTGGATATCCCAGAGTAGTTACATAAAGAATGGCCTGCCTTCAAAACATGGACTAACTTCGTCAGGGTTATAATAGATGGTGTTATAAACGCCAGTGTTTTCATAAAAGCTTCTTCGTTAAAGTTTCCATCCTTCCTTAATTTCTTTAAGTACAAGTCTAGCGACTTTTCATTGTTCAGTGCGGTGGTGTTGAATGGGTATAGCAGTGGGAACGCCAGTCTACTTTGCAGCAGATTTATTAGCATGTTGACGCGGCATATGAGGAGCGTCAGTTGCTTTTCCTTCCCGGGCGCTTTCATCTTGATTTACTCGTCGATGGCAGCTGGTCGTATGGGCACCACGAAAAAATATAGCCGTTGCAAATGCCAGCGTTAAAACAGCGCCCAGTTTGCCTTCCTACCTGTGCGCTGGGAGCATTTTCGAAAAAGGAGAAAATTTTTCAATTCGGAAATGACTCAGCATAAGGCAACGATGCAACATAAAACACACCAGGTGCGTTCATGGGGGTGGGAAAATCAAACAATTTGCTTCTTTCCTCGGATTATGTGAAAAAAAAACTCACGCTCGCACATTCTTCATACATACATATAATAAACGTACGCGGGGAACAACCTTGGAAAAAAAAAAAAAGTCGACGCCGCAATTTTTATAATCATCGTTCCGTCAACCTACGGATGTAGAAAATGTAATAAGCGCTAAACAGCTACACTATCCGTTTATAATAAAAAGGGAAACCTTTTTCCTTTTTTGTACACACTCTTTTCTCACCAATTTGCGCGTTCACCCATTTTGGCAAGTGCTTATTGAGAGTTCCCCTTCCTCTGTGGAACAACTTCATATTGCGGAAGGGTGCTAAGTGGCTAAGACGCACCACTTGTGAAGTATCACGACCCTTCTGCGACATGCCACCCTGCACATCTCTCTTAAACAAGGGAGCCATTTTACCTTACGTTCTTCTCATGTTAACAAATGGAAGATAATCGAGTGATTCATGCGCGATGCGTAACCGCTACGTAACCGCTACGTGAACGCTACTCGAGCGGTGCAGACTCTATTGACAAAGTTACACAGGCCATAACTATCTAAATGCGTGTAAACAACAAGCCAAATGATGAGTGACGTAAAATGCAAATCCGTGCACTTACATACAACGATGCAATCGTGTTGCGTAAAAAATGTACACTTTAAAAATTTCACGTAACATTGGGATGACACCCCAAATGGAATAAAAAAGCTTTTAAATTGTGTCACGTTCCATGCCATGCCCACCTTGATGGATGACGCCATTGTGTGTATAAGAAAGATACTTGCACCTGGTCGGTTTCGAAATTGTTAAAAAGAGGAAATCATTCTTCTACGATAGAGTGAGTTATAACTGATCGGCTTCCTAAATTTAGAAAACATTTTTTTCAATCTCAGACATTATTTGGACAAAGTATCAGTCTAATTATATCTACATTAAGAAAGGGGTTATATTCCTTCAGTAGGCGAAGGGGGGGGATCCATACAGACACTTGTGAAGATATTAATATAGCTACGCTGCTTCCTCCCTGCGAGTTATCACTCTCCCAGGTGTTACATGTCAAATGCTTCCTCCTTGCGGAAGTGCCCTCCGTGCCATACCGTTATCACTTGTTAGCAGTGCCAGTTTATCCTTTCGCCCTAATTTTCCTCAACAGAATTGCTGTGCAGGGGGGAAGGGAATTCATTTAAAATGTCTCTAGGCATATGCGCAGATCGATGTGCCCATCCTTCTCTTGCTTCGACATGAAGATAGGCTCTTATTTTTTCTCTCTTAAATTAATAGGGCTGTTCCCTCAAAAAGAACCAATTTGGCAGAACCCACTCTTAATGGTAGTGAGTATTCCTTAATTCCCTGAGCGATTTAAAATCGTCCTCTGATGCCCCACTGTATACTTTACTGCCCAGATGATTCTCTTCCCCTTTTAAAATGTGCAGTAGAGACTTGGCAGACTCTCTTATTTTTGTGTACGCTGCAGATGTTTCTTTAATGGTTCGGTCATATTCTAAACGTGTTTGTAGTTTCTTGGTTATACTATGGCACACCTCTTGTAGCTTTTCGTTCAGCATGGCGATCTCCTTCTGCATTCTTTCTTTGTCCTCTTCCTCATGTAGGTGGTAAGCGGTAGCAAATGGGGAGGGTAGAAAAAAGGGTCAGATGAAATTTGGCAGAAGCGGGCAATTAATGGGCTTCACAAAAATCAGCCCATGTGTCGCTCCGAAGCACCCGCAAACACATGTACTCGTGGGTCTAAATGCGTTCACCACAACTTCTGTCATTTTTGTACCTTTAAAATCTGCTCGTGAATTTCCTGCCTTTTTATGCGCAGCATTTCGATGCACTTGGAAAGCTCATCTTCGCTTTTGATAAGCGGCATTGCCTTCTTCCGGTCCATTTTTTGGCCAAAGTGTTACGAACAGTTGTAAACGAATTTAGTAAGAAGGGTTAAGTTCAGCCGTCTTGTATTTTTTTTTTTTTTTTTTTTCAAACAAACTTGTGAATAAAAATAGCATTGCGCGAAAGTGGTCATACTATGTAACACAAAAAAAAAAAAAAAAAATATGTCGCAAGTTTGAAGAGTGGCACAAAGTCATTTAGGATGAGTAAGCATTTTACCACGCACGCCGTTGTCTATTTTTTTCGGCGAGGCACATTAACATAGGGTACAAAAAGGTGAGGCGGATCGGCATATGGAATGAAGAACGGAACTTACGAATATGAGCAATGAAATGAAAAGTGTAAAGGGGGACAAGGCTGCAATTCTCCCTACGCAACGTAATTGTCCCCCAACTGGAGATTTTCGCCCCTCTACAATTTGTATAACTGTTCCTTTTTGCTACGCGTTTTTGCTACGCGCTGCGCCACAGTTTTCTTTTCCTCGAAATTTTGTCTAAATGCAAAAGTTTAACTATCGGCGGAGGCGAAGAGCGGAGCGATTTCGTACACAAATGCGACATAACAGTGAACACGAAGGCGACGCGACGTTGTACAAATCATTGCGATGTAAATGCTGGGGGGGGGGCCTACACACACATATACGCAATGTCCAGAATTTCTACTTTTTTTTTTATAAGCAGTTCATATGTTTTTATTCTCATTTGTTAACAGGAAGATATACAGGAACAAATTCGCTTAGCATTTTGCGAACAGGTAAATTGTGTCCACAGTTTGATCACATTTTTATCTATTTTTTTTTTTTTTTTTCCGTAACCCTCGAACAGCTGGGTAATTTTAAAAAACACCCATCAACCACCCATTTCGCGCATAACCAACTTGAGGAAAACGAAAGGAAAATTCCGAGCCCAATTTAACGAAAAAAAGGAGGCATTTCAACGTCTTTACAAAAAATTACGAATTTTTTGATATCTTGTCCAATTTTAAGCATGACACAGCGAAAGGAAAAACAGTTCCTTTTCCATTAATAACACACGTGGTAAAAATATTTTTAAAAAATG